TTCCTTCCTTCCTTCCTTCCTTCCTTCCTTCCTTCCTTCCTTCCTTCTTTCTTTCTTTCTTTCTTTCTTTCTTTCTTTCTTTCTGTGATTCAATGTTCTTTATAACTTCAAATATTCAGACATTGAACCCCCAGTAATTGATGAATGCAGATCTCCACTACCAATTCAAATCACTGAGAAGGAGCACAGAGTAACGTGGGATGAGCCACAGTTTTCAGACAATTCAGGTGAGTGACTCCTTTTTCATAGGTTTGGGGGTTTTTCTACCTATTTTGGGGCATTCTTTTGGATTCCGCTTGGAAGATTTTGACAATCAGTTTGAAGTGTTCCTGATAGGAAATGCTATCATTTCAGGATGAAGCTAAGAAATTGCATCTTTCTTTAACTTGTACCCTAACTAGCATGAATTAAAATAGAAAATTCAGGATATTTTAAGTAGAAATGTTTAAAGTACATTATTGCTTGAAACACATTAAAGGATTGCCAAGTAACATTAATAAAGAACAATAAAATTTTCCATTACTATTTAGAGCAAGGTTTTAATCCATATTTAATATTTTTCTTGCAAAACTCAATCATTTATTATGTTCTGCAAAATGCAACGTACATTCAGAAGAGTAGAACAAGTTGTTTCATTCATTGTATTGTCCTGGTAAATAAAAAGAATTTGAGGACTGATTGAATTATATTAAGGCTGAGATACATAAAGGCATCAATGCCCAGAATGAATTATATAAAATCAAACTACATACGGTAGTCTGTAAATTATATTTCAGATACTTAAGGCTCAGAACCATTATTTGGGGTTCTATGTTATAAATGTGAAGCATGTAGCATTGAAGAATATTGGAAACTAGCTCTATACCCATGCTTTGCTACGAAACTATGTGATCGGGCTTAGTTTTTGAGGAGGAAAATAAGCATGCATCGGTATTCATCTGGCTAGCGTCCTGTCAGTGTGTGAGAGAGTTGAGGGGTGTTTGGAAACTGAAAGAGTATTTGCTGTGAGCAAGAAGGAGACAGCAAGGAGCCTGGGCGTGGCTTAGCTCAACTGTTCTGTGCTAAAGCTGGTTGCTGCTGTGAAACTAAAACTGAAACTCCTCTCCTCTGTTTGTGTTTTGCATTTGGAAGAGATTTCTTTTCAGGTGGAGAGGAGTAGAACTCCTTAGCATCAGAGCGTGTTAATAATAATATACGAAATACTAATGCTCTGATGGTCATTTCGAAAAATCCTTTCTTAGTGAGCACCTAGAAGCCAAGAGGAACATACGTGCCAAATTTTAAGTTCGTATAGGCTTTACGGTTCTGGAGATTTTGTGATAATGCGTGAGTGGTATTTCGCTTTTATATATAGATAGATAGATGAAATGACCTCGGTTTCCCTCTTTGTTTCTGACTATTTTAGGATCTGCCTTAATAATAACTAAAACTCATTCACCTGGAGATCTCTTTCCCAAAGGAGAAACACTGGTTCGGTATACAGCCACTGACTTGGCTGGAAATAACAGGACCTGTGAGATTAACATTGTCATAAGAGGTTTGTTTTTGTAGTGCTTATATTTGAAATGATTTGTAGTGTTGAAGAGCACTGAAGAATATTTCTTTCCCCTGAATTCCAATTTTGGAATTCCAAATTATCCAATCTCACATCCAGAGAGGATCCAATTAATTTACAGTTCTCCACTACGCTGGCTTTATTCTTTTTTAAAAGAAAACTTACTTTTATGCAGAGTATTCTGTTCATATAATACAACAGTTTTTGGTTTCTTAGATTTTGTTTAAAAAGTCAGTTGTAATATCAGCATATGTGCAAATTGAGAATTTTGTTTAGCTTTATAATGGAGTGACTTATAGATGAGACAAACTGGGAAAATACACTCACCTCTAGTAGGCAATAGGGTTACGCAGCAGGAGGAGGAATCATGCAAACCTTAATCTGAATATCTTATTTTTCAGGTTCTCCTTGTGAAATCCCCTTTACTCCTCTGAATGGTGACTTTAAATGCACTGAAAATGAGTCAGGAGTTAATTGCACATTATTTTGCATGGAGGGATATGATTTCACAACAAGCTCCAATGAAAATTACTACTGTGCCTATGCAGATGGTATCTGGAATCCTCCTTATTCTAATCAATGGCCTGACTGTTCATGTAAGGTTTATTTATTTTTCTTTCTTAAAGAGTTAATTTTATACAGAGTATTCTGTACGTAAATCATTTAAATGTTTTTCAGTTGACTGATGTGTTTTGTCCTCCTAGTAGTTAAGTAACGAGAACTGAAAAAAATATCAAACTAGTAAGAGTTGGATCATACATACACATACACAAAAATAGCCAGCTTTGCACCATAGTCCTATTTCTATCCCCACCATTACCTGTTTGGTCATTATTATAATTGTTAGGCACCCATCCATCAGCTGTTTGTGTGTTGGTGATTCACATCTGCCTATAACATGTCTGTCTATATATTTGAATGTTTGAGTGATCTCAGAAATCATTTTGCTGGGAGATAGGAAGATGCCAACTACCTTAAAGTTTAGTCGGGGACCTAAGTTGCTTTTCTTTCTTTAAGCTTTAAGAAAGCCAAGTGAACATCATAATTCTTTTCCAAAAGTGAATGGCACCAATTGAGGACATTTGTTTTAATGACATTTAGTTCTAAATTAACCTGGTTTATGGTGCTAGTTCCTGAGATGGAATTATTTCTATTTGAATAACTGCCTTGGGGCTGTTATTAAATGGAGATTGTAGGGATTCTCCTATCTCTAGAACCATCCTTTCTCCTTACCAGCATCTCCAGGAACAGGTCCGGGGTAAATCTGAATCTTTAACTATAAAGCAAATATTGAAATGTCCACAAATCAGATAAAGAAATAGATATTTTGCTACATAATTGAATAATCTGGAAAAGTCATATTGACTTGGATACATTTTAAAAGCAACATATATTTTGCCAGTTGAGTACAGTTAGGATTTCATTGTATGATATATGATATGATATGATATGATATGATATGATATGGATAGTCCTCATTTGGCAATGAAAGTTGAGACTGGTGACTCAGTTGTTAAGCAAAGCAGTCACTAAGTGAAACTGCAGCCATGTTTATGATCTTACTTTGTTTGCTTTACAGAGCCACAAAGGTTATAATTACAACGATTGGTTTTAAAGTTACTTTTTCATCACAATCTTAACTGAATGGTCACTAAATGAAGCAGTCATTTAAACAAGGACTACTATATTGTATCATATATATTATTTGGTACCTACATTGTGATTGGGATAATCCTAGTTTGTTATTTTTTTCTTTATGCAATAGGAACTAAAAGTAGCTTTCACTTTTCAGCTTTCATAATGTTTAACATTTTAATATAATTTAGTACAATTTCACCTGTATAATTTAGTACAATTTCACCTGGTAGCAATGTACTAATTATAATATACTGTTTTTCAGTGAATCGTTTGGCAAATCATGGTTTTAAATCCTTTGAAATGTTGTATAAAGCAACACGATGTGATGACAATAATCTGCTTAAAAATTTTGTGGAAGTTTTTCAAAGTGCACTTGGTAAAATGGTGAGTTAATGGTACATCATTACAAGATCCTAATGTGACAAAAACATCAAGTGTGACCAGTAGAGACTGGCATGCCTACTATATTTGAAAACTGGAAAGGATATTTCTAGCAACCTTTTCTCTTCGTTGCTGAAAACCAGGTTGGTGCAGTGACGGGAGCCTCTTGAGTTTTAGTCCTCTTTAGCCACAATGCTAGTTGAGTCAAGATCACTCAACAATCATTTCTGTCAGCCATAAGAAGAAAGAACTGGCAAGCCACTTCTGAAAAAATGCTTCCAAGAAGACTTCACAGAATTATCCAGGCAGTTTTCAAGATTTAAAATTAATTGAAAGCATATTTTTTTCTTCTTCTGTCTCATACCATACCTCTGCCAAAAGCCAAAGAGCTGATTGTGCAACCCAATTTCATGCCCACTACGACCCTCCATGGCTCCTCAACAGCACCTCTCTGATTGCCCATCTGGGGCAGGGCAGACCACCCCTTCACCTACTCCTTGATAGACCACTCAGTAAATAAACCCCAGTGTCTCTGATTACAGAGTTAAATAATCTGTTATGAATTTAAATAGAGAACTACTGTATGTAATCATTTGTGTTACTTGAATAATGTACTATTTTTCCTAGTCAAACATTCTTTTATTACAGTTTGTAAAGGCTATGAAACAAGGTTATCTATTTCAGAAGTGAGTTAGACAATCTAAATTAGACAAATGGCAGGAAGGTTGTGTTTTTAACTAACGTATAGAAGTATAAATCGTCCTCGACTTCCAAGAATTCGTTTAGTCACCTTCGAAGGTACAGTAGCACTTAAAAATGTGACTTATGACCATTTTCACACTTATGACCTTGCAGCATCCCAGGGTCATGCGATCACCATTTGTGGCCACCGCCCCCCCCCTTCCCAGCTTCTAACAAGCAAAGTCAGTGGGAGAAGCCAAATGTGCTTAACAACCATTTGATTCATTTAACAGCTGCAGAGATTCGCTTCACAGCCGTGACAAAAATGGTTGTGAAATTGGGCACAACTGATTTAACAACCATCTTGCTTAGCAACTGAACTTCTGGTCCCAACCAGAGGTGGTATTCAGCAGGTTCATGCCAGTTCCGGAGAACCGGTAGCGGAAATTTTGAGTAATTCGGAGAATCGGCAAATACCACCTCTAACTGCCCCTGCCCCTATCTATTCTCTGCCTCCTGAGTCCCAGCTGATTGGCTGGGTCTTCTTCTGCACAGGAGAATGGAGCTGGAAAGTAGGTTAGTGGGGTGCGGAGGGAATGGGATTTTGCAGTAACCTTCCCCTGCCATGCCCACTACGCCACGCCCATCAAGCCATGCCTACAGAAACGGTACTAAAAAGTTTTGAATCCCATCACTGGTCCCAAATGTCATAAGTCGACAACTACCTGTAATCTTATTGTGCCAACTAGAGAGACACAAAAAATGTGGTAGCCTTTGATTTTCCCCCCCCAGAAAAACAACAACCTAGAGATAAGGGAAGGCATAGAAAAACCCAAAGCTTGTGCCATATGTTTTAACATCAGCCTGAAGATGGAGATTGCAGACTGATCACTGTGGCTGTTTTGGGTGTCAGATTATTACACTTAGCTTTCTGAGGAACAATGGACAAAGGGGGAAATCCTAGAGTGTCGGCTCTGCCTTTTGCCAAAATAGGCAGAGCACACACAGACACCAGGAAAACCATGGCAAGAAAGATAAAGAGAAGCCATCTTTCTAATCCACAAAGCTAGAAATTAGATGTATGTGTCGTCTGAGATGAGAAAGGGAGTTTAGCCCTTGTGTAGCATCACCCGTGGTGAACTAATTATTTTTGTTACTGCTCTTTCCTGATGGGTTTATAGGTTCCCTCGTTTTGCAATGACGTTGATGACATTGACTGCAGGTTTGAAGATCTGCCACAGAAACACTGCTTAGAATATAACTACGACTATGAAAATGGCTTTGCAATTGGTAAGTGAAGCGACTTGCCCTTTATCATTTATAAGCTCTGAAGAAAGAAACATTCAGCTTGTCTCCTGTAGTCATTCTGACTACAGGTGGTCCTCAACTTACGACCACAGTTGAGCCCAAAATTTAAATTGTTAAATGAGACGTTTGTTAAATGAGTTTTTTCCCCATTTTATGACCTTTCTTGCCACAGTTGTTAGGTGAATCACTGCAGTTGATGAGTTAGTAACCTGGTTGTTAAGTGAATTTGGCTTCCCCGTTGATTTTGTTTGTCAGAAGGTCGCAAAAGGGGATCACATGACCTTGGGACACAGCAACGGTCATAAGTATGAGCCAAGTTGCCAAGCATCTTGAATTTGATCACATGATCATGGGGGTGCTGCAAAGGTCGTAACTGTGAAAAACGGTCACAACTCACTTTTTTCATTGACATTGTAACTTTGGTCACTAAGCGAACTGTTGTAAATCGAGGACTGCTTGTATGTTACTGAGTCAGACCAGTGCTCCTGGTAAACCCGGGTAAGCACATCAGAAGAAGAAAAATAGAAAAATGGCCAGGAAAAAAAAAAGAATAAACAATTAACACCTCCTTCCATCATTTATTTCTCCACTTCCTTCCCACTGGTATTTCCTTTCCTAGAAACAGCAGTGTCAGGTCCGTATTGCATTCATTCATACTTTACCTCTCTGATTAACCTTTGGGGTAGGAGTTGACCTTTCACGTCTGCATCTTATCCTCCAAATTGTCAAGTCAACTAGCTGCTGCTTATCCTTTTCTCTTCTCCTAAAAAATGCAGTTGTGCTTGAACAGCTTGTGACCATTCATAAATGTTATTTGTTTCTCTTGAGATATTTCTTTTTCTCTCTCTGTTTATTACCAACAGGTCCCGGTGGCTGGGGTGCCATAAATCGGCTGGATTACTCTTACGATGATTTTGTTGAAGTAGATTCCGAAGAGCAGCAACCTAAATTACCATCCGATTCTATGGATGTGGCAAACTCCCGGGTCAAAAGGCACAAAAAAATGAACATGCCTATGTCGGATCACAAAATAAAGTTAATTTTTAATATCACTGGTATGAAAACATTTTGTATTTTTATGATTTAGGGAAATGAGGTACACCTTTTTAAAATGGAGCATATTTTGAGTGTTTTGTAAATAGAACATCCATAGGAATTATGTTGAACACTTCACAGATTGAATAATTTTTCTATTCTTCTGCGTGCTTCTAAAGAGCATTATGCTAATTAACTTTGTAATGCCTCTGTCCTTTGCATATAAGTTCATTGTTTTTAATCATAGCTACTATACCACTGCCTGACAAACGCAATGATTCTCTGGAAGCAGAAAACCAGCAGCGCCTTCTAAAAGCACTAGAGAGGATCACAAACAGATTGAAAAGAACCCTCAACAAGCATCCCATGTATTCTTTTCAGTTGTCTTCCGAGTTGCTTATAGCTGACATCAATTCTCTAGAAGCTGAGAAGGCTTTTCTCTTCTGCAAACCAGGCTCTGTTCTTCGGGGGCGAATGTGTGGTAGGTAAAGCTAATCTCATTTAATTTAATTTAAGCTATTCTGTTTAGAAGGCTATCAGCTTGTAGTTATTGCGTATATCTACTTTTGAGGAAGAATTAAAAGAATCATATAACGTCAATCTTAAATCTACCGTTCATGCTATCTTACTTATTTTCACTTCGGAAAAGTTTGGCTCCTCAACCAATTTTCCTACCTCTTAGTGAAGGCTTCCTTCAGCAGGAAGGGGGGAGGGGTAAGAACATGTTTTTCTACAATACTAATAAATTCTTGTACCGCATGAAGTTCCACAAGTCCTCCAGAATAGCTTTGGTGGAGCCTACAGTGATTACATGAAGGAAGAAGAGTTACTCAGAATTTCTTCTTTCTCCTTCACCCATAGAAGTATTTCATCAGTAGCACACAACTGTTTGGATTTCAGCAGTTATGACTATTTTAACACATTTTTCATGTTATCTGTAACTATCTTTTTCAATCAATCATGTAGCTCATAAAGTTTTTGCACATGTAGGAACTGTGTCTGTGATAATGCATCTACAGTTTGAGAATTAGGTCAGAATATATGTTAAACCATCATTGTTCCACACCCAACATTTTATTCCTATTTTATCTCATTAAATTCCAGTTAACTGTCCTTTGGGTACGTACTATTCTCTGGAACATCATGCATGTGAAAGTTGCTGGATTGGATCATATCAAGATGAGGAAGGGCAGCTAGAATGTAAAAATTGTCCATCTAACACCTACACTGAATATCTCCATTCCAGAAGTGTGTCAGAATGCAAAGGTAGGAAATTTGCAGTCATATAATATGTCAGAAATGAAGGTGACGTCCGAAAGCTCGGAAGACAAAACCTCTGGTCCCGGTGACCGACCTAGATTGGATCTTGCATATAATATTTATTTATTTAGCTGTTGAGGGAACCAGTATCTTTTTATTTAAACATGAAAACAAATGTTTATGCTTGTTTAAATTATGTTTATCTAGATGTTTGGAAACAAAATTTAAATTTAGACTAAAGAAGGTTCTTAAAAATTACTCTATTTTTTATAAAATACACAAATATAAAATAACAAAATATTGTTCATAAATACAACTTTATAGAAAGGTGTGTGTATGCGCGCGCACGTATGAACTATCTGACTAGGGCATCCAGAACAAGTAAACACTCTCAAGAGCTTTGAATCCCCAAAAGTAAAGCTTTATTGGATACACCATTTTGGTACTGAAAAATCAAAACCAGCTCTGGTTTTCCCATGCAAATGCTTGCCTAGTTAAACAGTAGCTTCCCTTTCTCCCCACCCCTGGGTGATCACATTGTCCAATTATGAGATGTCCTTTTGTTATGGGAACAGTCCACCCCCTTCTCAAGCACCTGCAGTCGTGACCTTGATGGCAGTGGTAGGATTCACATTTTTTTTTATTACCAGTTCTGTGGGAGTGGTTTCGTGGGCGTGGCAGGGGAAGGATACTGTAAAATCTCCAGTCAGAGTGATATTTGCTGGTTCTCCGAACTCCTCAAAATTTCCGCTACCGGTTCTCCAGAATTGGGTCAGAACCTGCTGAATACCACCTCTGCTTGATGGTTTCCAGGCTCTCACAATCCGTGCACAACTTCTCAGCACTCCATTCCACCCTTCTCTCTCCCTAGTTCATTGGCAAGTTGAAGAGCAATAAGGTTTGAAAGAAGCAAAGTGGTTCAATCTTGACTTGTGTGTATGTGTGTGTGTGAGAGGAAGGGAGGGAGAAGTGGAGGATAGGGGTGCTGGGTCTGATCACTGCATCTAATCTGTTTTTTTCCCCAAAAGTAGCCAACAAGATTATCTCTTTTTCAAGAAAGCACTTGAAGTTATACAGATAGTCCTCAACTTACCACTATTTGTTTAGCAACCATTTGAAATTATAACGGCACTGAAAAAAGGGACTTATAACCAGTCCTTGCACTTATGACCATCTCAGTATCCCCACAGTCACATCATCAAAATTTGGGTACTTGGCATCTGGCATGTATTTACAACAGTTGCAGTATTCTGGGGTCATGGGGTCACAATTTGGGACCTCCCGGCTGGTTTCTGATAAGCAAAGTCATTGGGGAAGCCAAATTTGTTTAACAACCGGATAAATCACTGAACTGCAATGATTCGCTTAACAACAGTGGCAAGAAAAGTTGTTAAATTGGGCATAACTGATTTAACAATTGCCTTGCTTAGCAAAATAAATTCTGCTCTCAATAACAGTCATAAGTTGAGGTCTACCTGTAGATTTTACCTGTAAAGTAAAATGCCCTTGTAACAATTATCTGATTTCTCTGAAGAATACAAAGTCGAAGCAGCACATCAGATATTATCAAATAGAGGAAAACATCATTAGGAGTAAATAGATTGACAATTTTTGGAAAAGAAAGCTGCAGTGGAAATGAAAGCAATTCTTTTATTGTGATTCTGCAATAAATTGCATTAGAATTAGTATTCTTGGATAAATACATTTGTTTAAATAAATATTTTTACAGAAATGGCTCCCAAAACAGTTCAGGACAATAAAATAGCAATTGAAACACAACAGGTTCAAATATGAGTGAAATTTTTAAATCAGGAAGTGAGAATGAGAGACTAAAACAATTACAATAAGATCCTAATAATTTGCACACTTTTTATAATTTATACTTATTCTTCTTCTTTTGTCTCAGTAATTGTGTGGTCTTTTCAGTGGAGCTAATATATGAGTTTTATTATAACAGAATGCCAATCATCCAAAAAAGCTTCTTTATTCTGTGTGCTTCGCATTTTTATGGTAGAGTAGTTTATGGTTTCAATGGAGTGTTCTAAACACAACACCGAGCTTCTGCAATAAACATATCCATATTTGTGGCAGACTCTCTTTACAAATGGTATTTTGCAAGCTAATACACTTAGCTTGCCCTAGGCTTCTAAATTGCCAGTTACACCTCATTGCAGATACTACTGTTCTGCATTGGATCACTAACTTTATTTTTGCTCTTAATTTTTAGCTGCTTGGAATTGATATGCATTATTTTTTAAATTAGAGATTCTTAATTAGGTTGTACTGTTTCTCATATACTCAGCTCAGTGCAAGCCAGGAACCTCTTCTCCAAACGGCCTTGAGATCTGTGAATCATGTCTCCTTGGCAAATATCAGCCTAACACTGGATCTAAGCATTGCATTTCTTGTCCAGAAAATATGTCAACAGTCAAAAGAGGAGCTGTGGATATATCAGCATGTGGAGGTTTGTGACATCTAGATTCCAGGAAACAGCATGTTGCTAAATACTGTGCAGTATCTATCACTCCCCTTCCCTGATCCCTGCATAACTGAAATATTTTTAAGTAGTAGCATGCATTGTGTCTCTAATCTATCTTATTTATCTAGTGGACCTAAATTTTCTGCACAAAGGATTTGAACTGTAGCCATACTTTAAAGAAACAACCTCCTGAGACCTCTGTTTAGACAAAGTACTTGTTTATGTTAGCAAATATTAGTTTGTAGTTTCCAACAGTGTGCTGGTAACAATAGCAGATTATTTCCATATGTTATTAGTGCTTTTATTTATTTCTTGCATAATATAAACATGGAGAAAAGTAATATTACTTTTTGTCAATTTCTGGCTAAACTTGAAAATAATTTTGCTTGTCCTCTGAAAAATAAATCTGTTTCTGTTGCCAATGCAGAATTAGAAATATGAGGAAAAGTGGGATATAAATCTAACAAATAACAAACAGGCCACATTATTTGGCAAATATCAAGTATTTGACATTTGGTGCTGTTTTGGGGTGATATGTCTATGGACAATCATCCAGGTCATGGTTGTCTCAAAGCCCTTTTTCCAAAAGGCAATTTTTTTTCCTTTGAAAATGTTTCACTTCTCATTAAAGAAGAACTGAAGAAACTTCTTGGATGAGAAGTGAAGTGCTTTTAAAAAAAACAACAACAAGAAAGTCCAATTGCTTTTTGGAAAAAGCTTTTTTGGAGTCATAGTTTGTAACTTCAAGTTATGCAAAACATTGAAAAACATGTCTATTCTCTTTTTCTGATAATTTTGGCCTTCTGAAAACTTAAGTTTGCAGCTGTAAGATAAGAAATTTGGAACTCCCAAAGTACAGATGGATACTTGTTTAATTGTTTTTTATATATGATCTGTTGATTTTATTTTAGGTTAATCTTGCTCTGTGACATTTCTGAATAAACTTATGCATATAAGATTGGAATTTGGGAAACGTTATCTAGATGACAGAGATTTGATACAATAATCTAGTTCTGGAACATTTAAATCCACTCAGTTGATGATATGGTTCGCATCCATCCAAAGCTTTCCATTGATTGAAACAGGTTTTTTCTCTTTTGTAAAACAATGTTAAAATGATACATCAGTGCATGAAGAAAATTATCTTGTATGTTTTGCAGTTCCTTGCCCAGCTGGAGAATTCTCACGTTCTGGTTTAATGCCATGCCATCCTTGTCCCAGGGACTATTACCAACCTGATCCAGGAAAGTCCTATTGCTTATCTTGTCCATTTTATGGAACAACAACGATCATTGGAGCCAGATCTATAGCAGACTGCTCAAGTAGGTTATGTATTCTCTAAAGGGTATGAAAATGATCAGCAATAAACCTAAGGACCGGAAGAGCTTGGCTCTTCATGTATTTGGCAGTAAATGGCTGTCTTGTGCTAAAAGAGAAGTTAGGTTGTGCCTTTGCTAAGAGAATATAGATAGGAAACAGCTGTCGAGATACCATTACACGGTTCACATGGAACAAAAATAAAAAGGAAATGGATCTCAATGAACAGAACAGAACCTCTTTGTATCACAATAGTACTTTGGGAGAGACAAACCCATCCTGTGATCAGCAGCTCCATATTTCAGACAAATCCTGAACAATTCTTTTTGTGGGTCTTACACACCAATCTTCTAGGAAAAGATGATCCATACACATGCTACAATGTCTCCTTCACTTTCTCAACTTTCCTCAATAACCTCATTTTATAGGATAGTTGGGTGTTATACCTCCGATGTTACAGTCCTGATAGCCAGTTCTAGACCTTGATGAGGAATGGGCAAAAAATATTCTGTTCCTGAATTTAAGTTCCTTTTCTTAACTATCATTTCCTACACTGTCACTGCCAGATCTCCAGGTTAGCATAAAATCTGAATTGAGTTTGCATGGATGAAGTATGCTGGCAGTTAAAATACTCAGATTTTATACTAAAACACTGAAGAACCAAACTGATTCTGATCATGACAGGATATGTGACAGAAAGAGTTCAGTGCCTCATCAATAGTAGAAACTGGAGTCCATCTGAAGAAATATAACACATTTTGATACTCATACTTTAAATGAATATGGTTAGATCTCTCTATGTATATCCTCAGCAACTATACTCCTTTTCAGGTATTGCGACATTTATGGTATTAGAGTCTTGACTTCGAAGATTTTGTCAGTGGGATATTTTTTACAGTTGATTTCATGTCAATCCCATTTAGGTTTTGGCTCTACTTTTTCTGCAGCGGAGGAGAGTGTGGTGCTTCCAGTTGTCCCAGAAAATATCAGCAAGGACCCCAAAGTCAGCAGCCAGGCAAGAACAGCTGTCGTGATTTCCCAGAATGTTCAATTTATCTGTAGAGAAAGTAGAAAACTGATGGGAAAAAATGAAAATGATGGGTTGAAAGTTAAATGGTTGCTGCCTCTTGTAGTGTTCTTTTTTTAATTTGTATCCCATGCAGCAGTGTCTGCAGCAGCTCACTACTGTCAGAACTTCAACAAATCCACCCCCATTCAAATCATAAGTCTCTAGCCACATCTCAAGAGAAAAGAAAATTGATTTATTAGAAGTGGCCATGTTGGTGTTAGCTGGATGCAGCCAATACTAAAATACATCATTCATTTCCCCCTTGACCCTGGTCTTCCCCCTCACCCCCTGGATGTGACTTCTCCAATGGGACACATCTATCCCCAAGAGTCATCAATCATGCTCTCCAGTAATATTCTTGCGCCCCGACAACTTTGGGCTGCCAGAGTGATTATCTAGGCACTTAAGGAATGCACGGTTTTCCCTCACTCCCTTTTTCTGGCAGCTAAAAAGACCAAAGGAGTATCTTTTTAGTTGACAACTACTTTTTTGGAATGATGAAAGAGGGATCCTGGCAATGCACTGCAAATCCCACCCCTCCTTGGTATGGGTGCAATGGCATGGTGCATGTAGACAAGGAGTAGATCCTGTGGTATAATGCCATCACTCTCCCCCTCTCCACCCCCTGCAGATGCTGGTGATCTCATATGGGTAGTCCTTGATTTATGAACACAAGCATTTCCATTGTTAATCAAGGTGGTTGCTTGTTAAATGAGCCATGCCTGATTTTACCTTTTTTTGCCACAATTGTTAAATGAATTGTTGCAGTTCTACACTTGAATCACCCATTTATTAAGGCCAGCTTTCTTCATTGACTCTGCTTATCAGAAGCCAGCTGGCGAAGGGTGATCACATGACCCCAGCATGCTGTGATAATCGTAAATACATGCCAGTTGCCAAGCACCCGAGTTTTGATTACATGACCACGGGAATGCTGTCAGTGTCATAAGTGCGAGGACTAATTGTAAGTCGCTTTTTTCAGTGCCATTCTAACTTTGAACAGCCACTAAACAAATGGTTGTAAATGGAGGATTATCCGGATTTGATTCAAGAAATTTAACATAGTGTACATTCCTTCCCCGCACCATTTTATTTTCACCACGCAGTATTTGAGACCATGGTGCGTTTATAATATCTAATAAGATGTAACATTTAGAGATCGGATAGGAAGTCTGAACCACAACTTGCTATTGAACAGGTAATGTTTTCTTATATTTTCTTTCCTATATTTTTGCTTTTGTTTTTTCTTCCATTGACAACAGACATTCCACGAATGTTTCCTGCAACCATGCCATAACAGTGGAACCTGTAAACAGGTTGGAAGTGGTTACATTTGCATATGCCCACCAGGATATGCAGGCAAGTAATACGGTTGCAATCCTCCCTAAATATCATGCTTCAACAGGTATATTGCCTTTGAACGAAAAGAAATGTATTTAAGAAGTGTGCCATGAATATTCAAACAAAAAATAGAAACATTTGTTGAAAAGCAGACCCAATTTTTCCTATGAGGGACTAGAGCCTAAAAATTGTGAAAAAAAACAAAAGGTTGGTTGTAGCCTAAAAAAAATGTCAAATAAAAAGTTTGGGAGGTATCCTGTAAACATATTGGAGTGTCTCTGGCTATGAAGTAGTCTTTCACAAGATCTTCTGTAATGAAATAAATTTTTTAAGAGATTTGTTGACTTCTTGTTACTGCTCCAAAGCAGTAACTTCTGTTTTGTAGCAATATTTATCTGATTTCCAGCCCCACTTCCTTTAAGTATATCTTTTCATTGCCACATGGTTATTTTGATATCATTTTTATGTACTTTACAGCTATTAGTTTTCTTTTACCCTATTTCATTATAAATGAACAATTTTTGTAGGTCTAAGCAGGTTAGCATCATTTATATTAACTATGAATTTTGCAATTGTCAAAACTAAACGTCACTAGTTATATTAGCCTCTCTGGATATTTATTTCTTTAGACTGATAGCTCTCATGGACCCTTCAAAAATTTTGCACTTAACTATAGTGGAAATAATGAAACTCGCCCCCTCAGTTCTAAGTATAGATTGGTCCTGTACGTATTCAGATAATGACTTCTTGGAAACCCTGCTTATAATCTAATAAAAATGTATGGAATTATTCACTTGATCTGTACTCATACATCAAGAATGAGTAAAACAGGACAGAATCGATCTATCTACTCCTTTTGCAGGAGACCTAACAGTTTAGCAAAACATTTCAATTTCTAGTATTTAAAAATGTATCAGTAAAAGGTCACATAGACCTTGAATACTGCAAAAGTTAGCTGGAAATAAATTAGTGGATTTTTTTATAATAAAGAGCTATGTGCTGGGAATAGGGAGAAACTGAGGGTTGGAAAAAACAAAACAAATGCAAAGGAAAGCAAACAGATTTTTTCATTCAGGAACAGATTTTAGACATTTGGTCCTTAAAAGTCTATGTTTGAATTTTTGTATATCCAGAAAATTTTTCTGGTGCTGAATTAAATTTGTCAGTCTTTTTGGCAGTCTGCTCGTTTAACAATAAATCAAGAAGCAAGTACAGGTTTAACCACACTCTTCTCCATGTGAAAAATTCAACAGTAGAGATGGATACAAATTTCACCAAAAATTACACATTTACAGAGGAAAAGCAGAGGAAAAATGTGAGGTTTTTAAAAAGTAACCTAGCATCACCAATGGATTTGTCTGTTTTATCATGAATTCAATTTTGTTTTAGTACTCAGATCAATTAGAATATTTAATTGAAACAGAATGTCTTTTGAGCTTTTGATTAAACAAAAGCCTAAGGCCTGCCTGTCAACAAGCTTGGTAGCAACTAGAACCAGATAGACTCTGAGATGCATTAGCTGTGTGGTTTTCATCTATCCCAGTTTCATATCTGTTTCTAAGCTAGGTATAAATAGATTCAAATTCCCCTCCTCCACAAAAATCACATTTTATTTTTCTATTACTTGATATTTATTTGATGTGTTTTGCACTTTTGGCCTATCCCGATTTATTTTTCTTTGTGTTCTTTTGGGTTGTGTTCTAGGATTAAAATGTGAAAAAGAGATTGATGAATGCAAGTCATCTCCCTGTCTCAACAAAGGGATTTGCAAGGATGGCGCTGCAGCATTCATTTGCCAGTGTCAGCCAGGCTACTCAGGTGACAAATGAACTAAAGCAGTAAAGCTTCATCTCCAGGTTGCAAACTTTTAAAAAAAGTTACGGCTCATATTATTTATTGAGCTTGTGAATATCTTGCCTTCTGTATTTTGCTGGTTTCATAGAGATTAAGGGGTTTATTTTATTTTTTTGGTGAACTGTAGGAAACAGTTCAACATAATTTAATTGCTGTTGTGTGCTGGGCATAGGAAATGATAATGTTTGTTTATAACATTCTAATTATATTAAAAATATCTCCATAAAGGTTTCTTAAATGGCTGCATTCTGAACATTCTTTTGTCACCACTTCCAGTATGCAGCAAATTAGTCAAAACATAGAATAATAGAGTTGGAAGGGACCTTGGAGATCTTCTAGTCCAACCCCCTGCTCAAGCAGGAGACCCAATACCACAGGGGTGTCAAACTGGCAGCCCGCAGGCTGGATGCATCATGTGCATTCCAGCTCCGCAAAGGGAAAAAAGTACGTCATGTGTCGTACGTCATGTCGTACGTCAATACGTCATGTGACAGCAACGTGACACTGTGGGGTTGACACCTGTGCTATACTGTTTCAGACAAATGGTTATCCAATGTCTTTTTAAAGCCTCCAGTGATGGAGACCCACAACGTCTGAAGGCAAGTTCTCTATGGATTGCCTTCATATTAGGGAATGGGTAACAATGGGTTGTCCTGCTTCTCCCTTACAATATGGGGGGAAATGGGTCTTGTTGCAAAGTAGCAATACATCTGGCTAAGCTTTTATAACTGAAATTGAATGGAAAGTCACTGGGGTGTCTATGAATGGAAAGGAAAGGATAAATGCCATCATTTGATCTTACCAGGGTAGTATGGGTCTTCTCCTATAATGTCAGTTGAATTCAACAACCAAAATATAATTATTACGCACCTAGGGCAAGATGGTGGTTAACCATTAAAATAAAAAGGGAATGATTATAAACCTCTCAATTAGAGGAAGTTTGGTGCAGATTGTTTTTAAGGTGACTGACTGGATTTTTTCATCTATTTGTTTGGGCTTTTTGCTGTAGCAATAAACTACAGCACTAGATTGTGTCTGCACTTGGTAAATGAATGATAAAAGCTGAAGGACACGGTATACTAAAATCTATATTATTTCATTCAATACAGAAATCCTGTAATTGATAACAATACCAGGTTCTGCTTGCAATTTTCCTAATTAGAAAAGTTTATAATATAAATAACATGGTGAACCCTCGTTTCCAAATTGGTAACATGAATGGAGCTATTTATTTATTTACCTAATTTACAGGCCCCTCCAATCTTTTATGACTGGGCAACTTGCAAAATACAACAATAAAAAAGCAAAGATTAAAACAAAGAATTCCATTGTCCAATTTAAAAAAAAAAGTCTGGAAAAAAGCAACTATCATTCAGGAAACCCAAATTTCACACAAGGGACCTATTCCTCACTCTGGCCCTAGGCCAGGTTTTTAGGGCTTGTTTAAGTAGGGCCAGGGTGGTAACTATATGAATTTGGGGAGGGGGCTTATGATGTTCCAAAGGGCACTTGCTATGAAAGTTATGGTCTGCAGCCAGAACAAAGAAACAAGAATGTGTAATTAATATAGTTGAAAATTTATTATTAACTGCTGTCTTGGAAATTTATACCTCAATATTTTTAGGATTGTATCTTCCATGTGTAAATCCATTGTGTGAACTTGTAAATCTGCATTTATACACTATTAATGTTCTCTGTAATCTTTATTATTTGAAGGCTTACTATGTGAAGAAGATGTAAATGAATGCAATTCAAATCCTTGTCTGAATAAAGCAGTCTGTGTTGATGATATTAACTCTTTCCACTGCTTGTGTCCAGAAGGCTTCACAGGTCAGTCTATTTTATTGATGACCCTCTTCTAATATTTATCTCAAGATGTTTTGTATTGCTTGCAAGATCTTCAAAAAAAGAGAGGGAATTTTAACTTTCCAGTTTAAAAAAAGGATCACATAGTTAGGTGTTATCATGTGTAACTTTCCTTATCGGTAGAAATGAGAAGTCTGTGATATTTTTAAAAAGGGCAATATTTTTTAGTAATTAATTTAATATATTAGCAAAGTTGATTCTTCATTCTCCAGCAAATTTGTTATGTTGAATGCCTATTTCAGGGTTGTTTAAAAATGTATTTGACTTATTAACTTTTTTTTCATCTTCATTATTTTTCATGCATCCAGAGTCTATAAAGGTGAAATCACCTGGTGCTGAAAATGTCTTTATTCCTTTCTTCTCAGGTACTCACTGTGAAACAGAGGTAAATGAATGTCTTTCAAATCCCTGCTTCAACAAAGCTACCTGTGAAGATCGGGTTGCAGGTTTCCATTGCAAATGCTTGCCTGGATTTACTGGTACTCTATGCGAAAAAAACATTAATGAATGTCTCAGTAGACCTTGTAAAAATGGAGCCGCTTGCAAAGACGGAATAAATGGTTATAGGTAAAAAGATTCATGCATATAGCTCTGAAGATATGTATATAAAGGTTTATTAATGCTAATGCAGTATATTTGTTTATTTGCTCACTTGCTTGCTAAAGAGTGGGCAGACATGTCAAACTTGTGGCCCTCGGGCCGGATGCATCATGCGCTGGCCATGCCCATCCCATGTTAGCAAAGGGGAAAGTAGCGATACATCACGTGACAACAATGTGACGCCGCAGGTTTGACACTCCTGCCTTAGGGCCTAAAATATAACAGAATAATTGCTTTTGGAATCCTATCTATGTTAGTCTTCATACATGAACGTTTCCTTTTGTCTTATAAGTATCTATTCTACTTCTATAAGTGAACATATCTCCAACACTATTAGTGCTTTAATCTACTGATGGAGGTATGGGCTCTACTGACTGAGTCTACATTCTTTTTCCTATCCAATTTTTTGGCACCCTAGGTTATTGTGTTTCGCTTTTTATTTATTCACTCTGGCTTACGTGTCATTCCAGTGACAGATTACTTCCATATACAGTAATTGTTAAAAAGGGTTAAAAAGTCTAACTGCTGCCTGTCTCTTCCACAGAAATGCATTTGGGGGATTTGTTCTGGATTTTTTTTCTCCTTAGTCCTTGGCTGGGGAGTTTTTTTCTCCATAGTCCGTGGCTGAGGAGTTTTTTCCTCCATAGTCCTTGGCTGGGGGTTCAGCCATTTTTAACCAGGCATGATATTCTTCCGATTAAAATCGGAATTCCGATTTTTTTGGGAATCCCCCCCCTTCTTCTCCTCCTTCCCCTCCCCTCGGAGGCCCCGAGTCAGAAGTTGCTGGCGCGGCTCCGCGCGGCTCCAGTCCCGCGTTGCCTCAGGAAGGGAAAGGCAAAAAGGAAGAGCCGCGGCGGCGCTTTGCAACGGCAGCAGCGGCTCCTGGTTTTGCCTTTCCCTTCCCGAGGCAACGCAGGACTGGAGCCGTGTGGAGCTGCGCCGGCAGTAGCAACTCCTGACAGCCCCAGCCGGATACCTGAGCGGAGCCCGGGCGGTGCGAGCGGAGGCCGCTGAGCGGCAGGAAAAGGGAGATGGGCCAGCCACAGACCAGCCTCCGTGCAACACGCCACCGCCCGGCCCTGGCGAGGGAAAGCAGCGGGCGCTCCCCGGGCGCGCGGCGGGGGGTCTCTTTTGGCCGGCCCCGGTTTTTTTTTCAGAGCAGAATATCATGCCTGTTAACTTACTCTTTCTTTTGCCAGCTTTTTCTCCACATCAAATTTGGTCCAATTTTGTTTTGTTTTCAGAGGGTTAGTCTGTTGACAGACAGATAGGCAAGGCAGGCTCCTCAGCCGTTTTATGCAATGTCTTTCCAACATTCTTTAGGGTTGCAAAAATAAACAAGATCCACAATTGCCAGAACTTGTAAACATTTCAAATTCAAATTCCACAATTGATCTTTTTTTTCAATGTCTTACATACTTAAGCTTTCCACTTACCTTCATATTGGTTCTTCATTTCACTTAAGTAACCTACTTTCTATTTTAATACAGCTAGAATGTAATTGTATAAAACTGTAGTAAAGATAATTCTTTCGTTTTCTTTTGTCTTCTCAAAGGTGTCACTGTGTTACAGGATATACAGGGCCCCAATGTGAAGTGAACATCAATGAATGTGAATCCAATCCCTGTGAAAATCAAGGAACCTGTATGGATGCCTTGAACTCATACGTTTGTAAATGTCCTCCTGGCTTTACAGGCAGCAGGTGTGAAACAGGTACCCAGGATCAAAGTATTAGCAAACAATAGCAAGCCTATCTTGCAACAATTCCACAGACTTGAACCGAAACCAGATGACTCCTAAGAATATAGCAGCCTTTGCAAATCCCAGTATACAATAAATAACTACAATAATTCAATATTATATTTATTATAAATTCAATTTTAAACCAATAATATAAATGAGACACTGAAAAAATGTGTTTTGAATGCTGTCCAGAATCCACTAGTGTTGGGTGGCGACTAAATTTAAATAAATAATAATATTTAGAATCTTACCATTCCTTAAATTGCAATTTCATTTTTTATAGAGTTACAGAGTATTACTTGTGTGTTCTTCAAGTACTTGTTAATCAGCTGGAAAAGATTTTCTTCATTCCTTGCTTTGTACTAAAGTACTGTAGCAACTTTTGTGGCCAAGTAGCAAATTATTAAAAATAATATATAAATATTATTTTTAAAATAAAAATTGTTTAAAATTATTAAAAATAGTACAATCATGCAGAAAATCAATCCACGTGGTTGTTAAGAGTCAACATGAGCTTGAGGTAGACAATCTATCAGTTGTAAACTTAATACAGTATGTCTTGGTTCTGAAGAAGTTTATTGTCAATACAGTAAATGTTCTCATCGCTAAAGCATGTTAATTTCCTTCTCCCACTTTTAGTGGTATTTTGAATGGGAAAATATTTCTCTAATTTGCTGTCATAAAATATTTTGTTTCATGAACTGTTTTAAAATCCATTGGAATTCAAAGATATGTTGGTTTTAATTTAACTTAATTTTCCTTACCAAACTATAGATTCTGTCAAAGCTCTCCTTTTGTCTGTAGCAAACTGGAAGAGTTAGGTTTGCTTAACTTCTGAATACAAGATGAAGCAAATGTAAAAATAAATAAATTAGAGAGCAAGTTAAAACTTTTTAGCTGCAGAGAAAAAAGTGCAATAAAAACAATAAAAAAAACATTTTAGCTGCCACATGGTAATACTGTACACCAAGGAATGTTAACATCACATGACAGCACTAGAGATTTGAGTGCAGATGGAATGGTTTTCATCCATCAGGATTAACTCTCCAATTATATGATATACCTTCTAAGGCTCAAGGGTCTTTAGATAGAAGAATAGTGGATATTTTACATTGGACATTTTCTATATAAATCATTTTTATAGGAACATGATGCTCAATATTTTCTTACAACCAGCGTGTCTATTTTGTTTAACATGGCTATATAATTGGAAAAGCCAGAGCCTCCCCAACTTCTCTCTTGCTCTGTTTAAAAATAAGCATTTTCATTCTGTCAATTCTGTCAGCACGATGGGAAAACATAGCTCAAAGAACTGAATCATTTAAATCAAATATTCATTACAGTCCTAGATTAGGAAGGAAGGTGTAGTACAGTCAATTGAAAAGCTTAGAAGATAATCAGAGCCCAAAAGATATAAAAGATATATGTATTAAAACAAAGAGTAGACATAAAAACAATTGTTTAAAAGATTCTAAAAGAAGGGGTAGGAACATTAGATGCTTAAAGGAGAGCATTAAAGGTATTGTAGAGCACTCTAATATGAGAAGCTAGATATTCATTAAGGCTTGTTTATGGCAGGGGTTATAATACAAGGAACTTTGAGTGCTATTGTGCAGAACCTGGCAATATTGTATGTTATAGCAGGGTTGGTATCTAAAAATGAGGGGGGGGGGGTATAGAATTGTCCTGTGTGCCCTGAATATTTTTGCAGCAGCAGTGAGGTGAAGGCTACAAAATGTCTCTGTAGTACAGGTGCTGTACAGGTGCTTTCTGTCCAGAGACACAGGGGTATTATTTCTCCAAGTAAGGGATTCCTGTATCATTCACGGGCAGCTGAGTTGAATGCATAACATTGTAAAGGCCCTCCAGTGTTGAAGTACTTTGAGTTTAACTGAGTAGGCAATAGGGGAAAAGAGTACCTGTATTCACTGGCAATACAGATTGGGGTTCTGGCTAGATCCAATTGTTGTTCTGTTTCTGCTATATGCTATTTAGTAAGTACTTTGGCCTGAGCATATCCCATTGTGAAGGAAAGACCTAGAGAGAAGCCCAAAGATGAGATTTTAGTTGCCACTGCCTGTTTCCATGTGTATTGACATCACACCTCAGAGTTAATGGAGCAAGGCCAAGGGGGAAAAAAAGATACTTTGAGACAATTGATGAGTTTGATCATACCCATTTTAACCTCAACTTTCATGAAGCCTGTTCTTAGTCTCAGGGTAGCATTTGAGGCTATCGTTGAATTTGGGGCTTGAAGGGCTGGAAATTTGAATTGTGCAAGTTCTTACAGTGTAAAATTGGAGAAGGAACACAGCTAGCCACCATAAAAGTATTGTGATATTGTCAAGGAACTAAACATTTTTCCTATCTGTTGCAGAGCAGTCTTCTGGATTTAACCTGGATTTCGAGGTTTCTGGAATCTATGGCTATGTTTTGCTTGATGGTATCCTCCCCTCACTCAGTGAGATCACATGTGCATTTTGGATGAAATCCTCCGATACTACAAATTATGGGACTCCAATTTCTTATGCAGTGGAAAATGGAAGTGACAATGCATTCTTGATTACAGATTACAATGGGTATGTGAAGTAGCTACAGCTTCCAGATTATATGTTTGGGGAAGAGATGCAAACTGTATTTTATTGCTTTATCAACCTAACCTCTAGAACTTATTTTTCCATGTGTTCAGTTACACAATAGAGCATTACACATTCTGTATTCAGTGAGTAAGCAACCTATAGATTTGTGAAATATTTCTCCAGTCCATGCCAACACAAGAAAATTACTGTAGCCATTTTTTTTACTGCGCACTTGTACAATCATTCGTGCTTTTGGACACGACCAAATCGGGTCACAACTGAAGTCCGGGAACGGATTATGGTCGCGACCCGAGGCTCCACTGTACTACCTTGGATGGCCCATCCAAATCCTTTTGGCCTTTTTCTTTTTTTCTTCAATTGAAGTTCAGAAACGTCACTAATGCTCAGGCCAGCCATTAACTTTTGCTTGATTATATTCACTCTTACCCTGAAGTCTTTTGAGTTATTATTTTGTCTTGTCCCCATTAGACTATTAAATCTGGCGTGCAGCTAACCTGTTTCATGCAGGTCACTTCCATTTCTCTTCCTTCTCTTCTGATATAGATGGGTTCTGTATGTTAATGGAAAGGAAAGCATTACAGATTGCCCTTCTGTGAACGATGGCAATTGGCATCATATCACTGTGACTTGGGCAAGTGGAGATGGAGCCTGGGGAGTGTACATCGATGGAAAATTGTCTGATGGAGGCAATGGCTTATCTGTGGGAACAGAAATCCCTGGTATGTCTCCCTTCTTTATTTATCTGGCTGTATTTATTTGCCATGTTATTCTGAGATATTTGACTGAAGGGATGTAAGATTCACATCCTACACAACGTAGTAATTGTTACTATTCATTTAAAGCTGTATTAGTACTAGTTTGTTGTCCCAAGCATATAGTGTCAACCATCATGTACCATAGTAATAATCAGTTTTATTCCTTGCATTTGTGTGAGTGAACCTGTATGAAAAATGTAGTATCTGAAATCAATCCAAATGTATCTGTCGTAGGATGCAGAAGGGAGCAGCACTTGCTATCTGCCCAGACACAAATGGTTATCTCATCTTTTCTATTTCAAATGGCAACACATTCATCTAATTTTATATAATTACTCATGAAAGCACCCATTCCTAACTACAGATTATATCAAAGCAAATATGTGTCATCATGTCACAAAGCTCCAGCTTTCCATTGTCCTATTGCCATGATGGCGAGCCTATGGCACGTGTGCCAGAAGTGGCACGCAGAGACACTTCTGCCAGCATGCGGGACGTTGCCCGGAAAAGTCCCACTGCGCATGCACGTGCACTGCCTGCCCGACAGCTGATTGTCAGGTATCTGGCACACATGCACGGGGGAGGGGGGTCCCGTGCGCATGCGCAGAGATGCGCAGCATTGGGGATCACGTGCGCATGTGCAGGGGGCATGGGTGGGCACACACATTGCTTTCTGGCTGCTGGCACGCAAGCGCGAGCCGAATTTTCATCACAGGAGACCCAAAAGGTTAGCCCCCATTGTCCTATTGCAATGACAACACAGGCATAAAGGAGGAGTTTGCATTACAAAGTTTCATTCTTGGCCTGCTTATTCTCCCCATGGACTTCTATGATTAAATGAAAGAATTGTGAAAACTATATCTGAAGAGCTTGACGTTTATATTTATATACAATGCCTATCTTCTGCCCCACTCAGCAATCTGCCTTTTGGTATAAAGTTTCTCCTAGAATGACAGTGCTGAATTCAAGTTCTTAGTTCTCAAATGCACTAGATCCTTATTCTGTTTTCCTTGTAAATAGGTGGAGGTGCATTAGTACTCGGACAGGAGCAAGATCAAAGAGGAGAAGGCTTTAATCCAGCTGAGTCTTTTGTTGGCTCAATTAGCCAGCTAAACATTTGGGGTTACGCTCTGCCTCCTGAACGGGTAATATATTGAATCTAATTTGGTTTTCCTAAAAGTTCCATTTTATGAAAGCTATTTGCTCTGGGAGGAGGAATACTGGAGCATAGGTGCCAATAGCTAATTTTTAGCTATATGAATTACATAAAACTAAAACTAAATACATAATAATCAGTAAACCCATTGATGAAGGTTCTTCAAAGGGATGTGTTCATGGTGAACATTCCAAACACAAAAGAACAGTGATGGGCCTTTTTGTTTTTATTTATTTTCCTTTTCATGAAGCATTCAGTTGTACATTCAGTTGGGGCAGAAAATTATCTGCCAATTTCTGTAGCTTCCAAATCAGCTTTAACCTCTTTGACATGACCAAAAGCAATTTGATGTGCTTCTTAGCAATAAGAGGGCTTCTCATTAAATGGCACTGGAACCGAACAAGTAATCAATCATAGGCCTATTATTAAGGGGGAAATGGAAACAGATAAGAAGTGGTTAATTAAATCACCCTGAGCTGCTGGAAGAAAGGCAAACAAATGAATTGAACTCAGTTAAGATATGTAAGAGAAACACCACATACTTTGCAAAACATTAGAGTGGTTCATGATAATATACTTTTACAGCTTTCATCTTTTTCTAAAATAATACATACAAAAACTTAAAGCATTTCAAACCCCTGAACGTGCTATTTTAAAATAATAAATTATAACATGAAATTAATTTTCTATGCATAGGTGTCTTTATATGTGTGTGTGTGTGTATACATACACACACACACACACACACACACATATATACACTATGCATAGGTGTCTTTATGTGTGTGTGTCTGTGTTTGTGTGTGTGTAAAATCAGTTTATCAGGGAATTTGTTCTCAGTTTTAGAGTTTTTCAAGTGTATCCAAGATTGAAAACTGCTACAAAGGTATCTGAATGGAAAAATGTTTCTGTCTAAGCAATTTTTTGTGTATGTGTATTTTGCATTTGTTTCCAACTAATTGGTGACAACACAGACAACTACATGTTTATCTTCTTCTTGCTTGAACTCTAAGGTGAAGTCCTTGGCTACATCTTGTCCAGAGGATCTCCAGAAAGGCAACGTATTAGCTTGGCCAGATTTTCTTCCTGGGGTTGTTGGAAGAGTGAAGATAGATCCCAGGAGCATATTCTGTGCTGGTTAGTTATCTTTCAAAGCCTTCGTGGAAGTATCATACAGTTGCATTCAAACCATGTTCAGAAAAACTGTGGCACTGAATGAAAGGTTTCAAGAAGGTCTCAGAGAGAAAATCAGTAAGAAAGTTATTTCTCTTGCAATAGGCGGGTAAAATGTAAGAGAAAATCAACAGTGTTGATATTTCTGACTTTCTCTTGCAACAAGGAGCATACTGTACAGGTAGTCCTCAACTTACGATCACCATTAAGCCCAAAGTTTATGTTGTTAAGGGGGAATTTTGTTAAGTGGGTTTTGCCCGATTTCACAACTTTCCTTGCCACAGTTGTTAAGTGGATCACTGCAGTTGATAAGTTAGTAACCTGGTTGCTAAGTGAATCTGGCTTCCCCATTGACTTTGCTTGTCAGAAGATTACAAAAGGGGATCACATGACCCCAGGACACTGCAATGGTCATAAGTATGAACCAGTTGCCAAACATCTGAATTTTGATCACACAATCATGGGGATATTACAAAGGTCATAACCATGAAAAACAATCATAAGTCACTTTTTTCAATGATGATGTACCTTTGAGCATTCTCTAAACGAACTATTGTAAGTTGAGGTCTACCTGTATTCTAGTACAGCAGTCACCAACCTTTCCAGCTTTGCAAACCGGCAGAGGGGGAGATGGGATGGTTGGGTACGAGCGTGCATGCCCACCACTCATGTAAGTTGAGTTGCAGAACTGAGCATGCTTCACCGCTGTTTACACGGCCCGGTTCCAAACAGGCCACAGCCCAGTACCAAGTGGTAGCCCCGGGACTGAGGACCTCTGTAATAGGATACATTATTAATTCATTAGACCATAGTGAGTGGCCAATATTTCACATGGAAACAAAAAAACAGTCATTTTATACAGTAGAAAAATGGAAGAAAGAGCTATTAAGGACAAGAAGATTTATTAATATTTTAGAAATGTAGCTTAATATATTTAAGGGAACATATATTTAAAAACACAAGTATTACTAATAACATTTTAATATAATTCACTCCTCTATAACGTTTGTAGTAAGTATTTACCTTAGCTGAATATGATTTAAGTTAAATGTTTGTGAAATAAGCTATTTAATTTCAAATAAATTAATTAAAAGAACATAAATTATGAATATGATTTTCTATTTCGTGTAAGTGTGGTTCAATAAATTCTAGTATAGTTGGTTTTTATTAGTCCAATTGTTCCTATTAACTATAAAATGCATCCTAAAATTCCGTCTGTCATTCCACATTCTTACACTACACAGAATTCTCCGAGCAGGAGCGTCAGGGAAAATAATTCCCTGATAGCACATAGAAAAATGTTTTAAATTTACTGGTATTAGTTCTGAGGCATGAGGCTAAAAATACAATTACCCCCATGGCCTTGCATGGATACACTTGATCATTCAATGACTGGAACATTCAGTCTTAATTCCTCAAATTCCAGTGTTGTGTAATAAATGTTCATTGGGACCTCAAGCAAAATATTTATGGTTTCCTGCATTAAGAATGTTGAAAGCATGAAATTTCAGAGTGGGTCATAGAGAAATATTTCTTGGCCTTCATGAAACAATAATTCAATTTTTTCTTGATTTGTTATTTGTTTTTTGTTGTTAATGGTTTTTTTTGTCATTTTAAATTATAAACATTGTTTTAACAAGTAATGAAATGCAGAACGTTTCCTACTTTAAGAGAGCTTAGAAATATTTTAACCAGGCAGCTTATTTAGTACAATATGAAGAACCAGAATGATGAGTACAGAATTGCATATTGATTTTATTTTGTAAATATTCACAACTCAGCCATGCTTCCCTTATTCTCCCTTACCACTTGGATAAAATATAATCCTTAGAATCTTCTTTCTCTAAAAGATGGAATGTTGATTTGGCAGTACAATGTAGTGGCATTTCATTTTAATGGACTAATCGAAGGGGGAGTCGTGAATATTTGATAAGTAAAAATATACATAATTGTGTCAAATTAGATCATTGCTTAGTTAATACACAAGTGACATTGTTTATAACATCACACAAATTATCATCACAGAAATGGACTCAGTTGTCTGCAAAATCTACTGTAAATAGTTCATTTGCTCTGTGGTGATACTATATATAAATTGTGTATACATGTTGATTTGTCCACAGATTGCCAACCTTTAGAAGGATCCATTCCCCACCTGAAAACTTCATCAGCTACTTTAAAGCCAGGATCAAAAATATCTCTCTACTGTGACCCAGGTTTCCACATAGTGGGAAATTCTGTCTTACATTGTCTAAATTTAGGACAGTGGGCACAACCTCTTCCACATTGTGAAAGTAAGCAGCTATTTTTGTAACAGCTTTAACTTCAGGATATACCACACTGTTGTTCAGAAGTTTATTTTATTTATTTATTTTATTTATTTATTTTTGTCAATTGCTTACAAGATAATAGGTATAAGTAAAAACAGTTATGAATACATGGATACATATAAGAAAAATAAAAAAATAAAAGAAACAATAGGACAGGGACAGTAGGCACGTTGGTGCGCTTATGCACGCCCCCTACAGACCTCTTAGGAAAGGGGTGAGGTCAAAAGAAGACAGTCTTAGGTTAAAGTTTTTGGGGTTTGGGGAAGAAACCACCGAGTCAGGTAGAGTATTCCAGACATTGACCACTCTGTTGCTGAAGTTGTATTTCCTACAATCAAGTTTGGTGTTGTTAACCTTGAGCTTGTATCTATTGTTTGCTCTTGTGTTGTTATGGTTGAAGCTGAAGTATTCATTGCAATGTATGATTTTATATACTATACTTAGATCGGACCGAAGGCGGCGTAGTTCTAGGTTTTCTAGGTCTAGAATTTCGAGTCTGGTGGCATAAGGTATTCTGCAACGAGTAGAGGAGTGGAGAACTCTTCTTGTGAAATATTTCTGGACTTTCTCAACTGTGTTAATATCAGTTTCGTAATGTGAGTTCCAGACTGATGAGCTGTATTCGAGGATTGGTCTAGCAAATGTTTTGTATGTTCTAATTATTAGTGTAATATTACCAGACAAAAAGCTATGTAAGATTAGGTTAACAACTCTAAACGCCTTTTTGGCTATGTAGTTACAGTGGGCTCTAGCACTTAGATCATTAGAGATAAGTACTCCAAAATCCTTGACAGAGTTTGGATCATCAACAAGGTCTTGACTATTCAGCCTGCATTTTATTTTCTGATTATTATTTTTTGCCAATATGTAGGGCAGAGCATTTGTTTGTTGAGATTTGAAGTTGCCATTTGTTTGACCATTCTGATACATAGTCAAAGTCTTTTTGAAGGGTAGCAGTATTGTCTGTGGTGTTGAATAGCTTTACATCTTCAGTTCCTGGGTTCCTGAGCATAAGTTCCTGGGCATAAGCTAAAAAAAAAGTACTGAATGGAAGTCACTTAGGGACACCCAAGGTACTTTTTAAAATTGTTTCCATATAAACTAAATTTATTGTTAGTTTACATAATAAATTTGCTTTTGTGTGTATGCATATACATATATATGGGTATGTGTTAGATGGTGAATGAGATGAAGTGTTGTTGTATTATTGAGTGCTTATTGGATTTGTTCTTCATGACCATTGTAGCTTTTTTAATGTTTCATTGAGACTGGTTCCACATTCTTTTTAATGTGTTTTTAGCAGCAAATTTTGGAAGCGCTTGCTACTTAACTACAGTCGATACAGGAATTTGAAATTCCAAAAGCAAAGACAAACACAGCACCCTTTCTTCTTTAGGTTTCAGCCATAGACATTGAAGTTTGTATTATTAATATAATTAAAAATAGAATTATATTGCCTCCAGGAACTAGGACTTAAGCTCATGGAAGCCATTTGAAGAAAATTTTAAATAAATATGTCTCATTCCCTAATAGGTTTATATGTGTATTTATATGCTGTTTGAGTATAGGAATTAGTTGTGGAGAACCTCCACCTTTAGAACATGGATTTTACTCAGCTGAGGATTTCTTTGCTGGAAGCTCTGTAACCTACCAGTGCAACAGTGGTTACTACTTGTTGGGAGACTCAAGGATGCTGTGTACAGACAATGGAAGCTGGAATATTATTTCACCATCTTGCCTTGGTAAGTCCACATAGACCACATGGTTAATATCAAAAGCTAAATCTATGTTTTCCAGTCCAATTCTAAGGATGTTGTGATTATGAGTGACCACAGGTGAGCAAGTGTCATTTCTTCTGTCACAGTGTCATGGTGCAAAATGGGGTGCTATGTAACATCTTGCATCATACTGTAACTGACACAAATTATGCACTTCATGTAAGTCGTGCGGTAATGACATGATGCATGATATGTTGTAGTTTACACTTGTGACTTAGATGTGTAATATGTCAATTAAGCATACATCCAGGACCTAAAAAGATTCTTTGGGTTTTTCAAGTCCTACATGTTCCATAGGATTTATAAAAAAAAACTTAACTTGAGAAGGAGATTAAAACTCAAGTTCTGGGCAGCATATATAGTTTTGTGGGTCTTTGGATTCTGGTAGAAAGGGAAAATCATTCTTTATTAATGCATGGTCAAAGACCAAACCAACAAATATTAAAACACATATACCAGTAGTAGTTTAACCATTTAAATGTATAAATTACTTAGAAGTCAAAAACAATCAAATCTTGAGGAAGACACCAGACGTTTCCCTACAGATTAAAAAAATCATTTCTGCCCTACATATATTTAGCTCCTGCCAACCTAGCAATTCAAAAGCATGCAACAGGGAGTAGATAAATAGGTACCATTTTGCTGGGAAAGTAATGGCGCTCTGTGTTGCACTCCACGCTCTAGTGTAATGTCATGGTGGCCACATGACCATGGGAATGTCTTCGGCCTGCCCCCTAAGGTCAACGATGAGTAGCGGAGTAAAATCTATACGGACTCCTTTACTTACATAGATTTAGAAATTGGTGACTTAAAAGGAAATAAATTATCTCCTTATCATAAGAAAAATATAACAAATAATTAGGATTATGAATTTTAATTGTTATTGTGCATGGAGTAGACATTTAATAAATAATAGTGTTCAGATTCAACCTTCGTATTTGAACATAAAATTGTTCTGTGGGAGGTTGAACTACCTTCCAGTTCTTGCTCTGATGGATGGTGCATTGGCCGGGGGCGGGGAACACCAATGCCTCTACCTCTGGTAGGAGGAAGTATGTGGTCCATTATGCTTTTTTCACAGATATAGGTTTATATACGTCAGTTACATTTTTTGACAGAACTTGGTTAGATAATTTTCAAGAATTGCTTACAGTACAAAGAATGTCTGTTTGCATTTTTGTCATCGCTCAGAATCTGCCTCAGTCAGCAGTTTCTCGTAAGTTTCATTATATCCTTATAAAGCACCATGTGTACTTTGTATAGAAAGAAAGAAAAATGTAGGCATCCACATTTTTTTTGTTCACAGATTGCTTTCAAAAGATCTTAAAAGAATCAGCATTTTAATATTTTGTAAGGGAACAGAGCTAGTCTCATTCCTAGAAAACTAATTTTTGGAAGAAGAATTCTTAAGTTCTGATATAGTTAGTCCTTGACTTACGACCTCCAATTGGAATTGGAATTTTGATCACTAAAAGAGGCAGCTGTTCCTCTTCAGAGGCGATCTGCCTATCAGCGCCACTGCCTGTCAGCAGCTGACCCTCCCCAGTGCCTGTGCAGGCAGGCAGCTCTTTGTCTGGTTGACCACCTCCCCCAGTGCCAGAGGGGCCCGAGACAGCTTCGTCCTCAGACCATGGCCTCTCCAGTCATACCAAGGGAGAGGTGCCATCCCTGTCAGACTGTCCCAGTTCCAACTACTTATCCTCCGAACCAGGCTCTGATGAGGCCACGATAGCAGGATGATTTATGAATCGAATGCCATCCACATTCATGGCATTGCAGAGAATAAGAAAAAGACAAGATAGGCCGGGATTTTAATCAGAATGGCCTAGAAAATGAAAAATTGTGAAGAAGAAAAGGGTCAAGAGAGTAATGGATGAATGGGAGCAATCATCGTTAGATGCCGTTTGGGTCAAAGGGAGAATTAGAAAAGGCAAGCTACATAGTTGGGCTGAAGTTTACCAAGAGTGACCGAGAAACGTTAGCAGCATTTGGTATTTTCTGTGAGTCCCAGGCTTAAGAGGCAGCAAAAGAGAATGGGAGGAGACTTTCAGGAGATTAGAAGGATAATCTGGAGTGCAAAAAAAAAAACCAGGGGCGGTTGGAAAATGAGGAGAAAGAGAGTGACATTTTCTTAATAACATGAAATACTGTTATTTGTTTCTAGACGTTGATGAATGTGCTGTTGGTTCAGACTGTGACTCCCATGCTTCTTGCCTTAACACAAATGGATCCTACATATGTACCTGCATTCACCCATATACAGGAGACGGCAAGAAATGTGCAGGTAAAGGAGCAGGAATAGAAGAGCAGTTTGGATGGGCACATGAAAAATTGTTTGTATCTATAGAATCATAGCTATATTTTAGTCCTCCTCTCGAAATCCATCATTGAAATTCCAGATTACCAGCCTCCTAAAATTTGTAGTATAGCAATAGCACTTCGACTTCCCAGTGCTTTACAACCCTCTCTAAGCGGTTTTACAGAGTCAGCATTTTGCCCCCAACAATCTGGGTCTTCATTTTACCAACCTCAGAAGGATGGAAGGCTGAATCAATCTTGAGCCGGTGAGACTCGAACTGCAAAACTGTTGGCAGCTAGCAGTGAGCAGAAGTAGCCTGCAGTACTGCACTCTAGCCACTGCACCACCAAACCAGTATAAACAGCATAAGCTTTAAATGGAGCTGGCTTTAAATGGAGCTGGAGATTTTATTAACATTTGTATTAGTAATCCTTTATTAAGACCACATTATACCTTATTTATCCTGAAACTAAATCATTTTTTCCTAAAATGGTATGGTCTATTCAATCATATATTGAATGGATAATGAATAACACTATTTCCAAGCAAATTCAAACCTGATAATTTCTCATTTGTCCCTTTTATTGGGAAAATTGTCATAAATTTAATACAGATAAGCTATTATTATAACCCAGAAATGGCAAAAAAGCCACACACAAAAAAGGCAAGGGGGTGAAGAAAACTCCTCCCTAGAAATTCTCGAAGTATAAAAGTAGCTGCTTTGGTTTGGTAAGATTTCTGTCTGTAGGTAAGGAACAATAAAGGAAACTGCTTAGAAATAACTGTCTTTCTTGGTTTTGTAGCCTGACACTAGCATAGTGTTGAAAATAGTAAAGAAAATTTCTCATGATGCAGGGTGGTATAAATTCAAGTAATGAAAAAAATGCCTCAAACTAAACTGTTCTTCAAAGAGTTTGATGAGCATTCCCATGCTTTTTTTTTTTTTTTGTCTGGGCTTTTACCCTGCCAAGTTTGCCTACTTCAATGTTGCGTGATTTGTTTTCATTTTTAAGCACATGAGCCACACCTGATGTCAGTAAGCTCTGTTTTACCTTATATCTGATTCCAAAGAACCCGTTAAATGCAAACACCCAGGAGATCCTGAACATGGTCGCTCGCATGGGGTCAGCTACACTGTTGGTAGCGAAATCAGGTTTTCATGTGAAAAGGGCTACCAGCTAAAAGGAGTGAGTCAAGTTACATGTTTGGAATCTGGGGAATGGAGCCACCCGATACCATTCTGTGAAGGTATTTTTTTTAATCGTTTATTGTTATTGTATAGCTAGAAATCATGGTAGCCTGGATAGGCAGTTCAGCATATAATTTATGGGAATTGCTTATAAAAAGAAAAAAGAAATTGTTCCAAAACACGATGATACTTAAGAGTTCATAGATTTCCTTCCGTAAGTGCCAGTACTGGATTTGTAACTTAAATAGATGTTATTATTGATAGAGACTGTATCCTGGCCATTCCAACAGTGCTTATCTCCAGTGGCTGCTTAAGGACAAACAGTCCAAAATTACAGTGGGGGTGGCTTGATTCTGCACAGCAGCACTGGGGATTCGTCGGAAACACGTGTCAACCCCACTATAGCTATTTTATACAACAAATGTGGAAAATCCTTTGCACTGCTTATCTATTTCCCTTTTAGTATTAAACTGACTATGGGTCTCACAGTTTATGGCAGGGGTCCCCAAACTTGGCAACTGCAAGACTTGTGGACTTCAACTCCCAGAATTATCCAGCCAGCATAGCTGGAGTTGAAGTCCACAAGTCTTACAGTTGCCAAGTTTGGAGACCTCTGGTTTATGGGTTGTAATTTTATTATAGTTAGACCGTGTATAATTTACAGACTGTATTTTATCATAAATTTTACTGTTATCATTTTATTCTAGATTTTTTAAATTGTATATTTATTGAGTGTTTTTATTTGTTCTGGTCTCTGGTCTATGACTGTAATAAATTGAATTGTATTGTATTGATAGAGACTTCCAGTGTTATTTTCAGTTGTGACTATTTAGTTGCAGACATATCAGTAATTCACATTAAAGATGGCTGAGCTTCACATAAAGGAAAGAGAAATATTCTTAAGTCATTCAGTGAAGTGGTGGTGGAACACAAGCTTATCTGAGATTATGTAAAATCTATTGGATATTGGACCATCTCTGTTGCATTCCAGAAACAGTGAAAATCTTTCTGAATTTCTATCCAACCTACATACCTTTTTGCTCCAAATTTACTTTCTAATAATGTAAGATTTTTCCGCTCTCCAGCAATTTAATACTGGCATTTAGTGTGATTTCCACTTCCCTTTTGAGGATATAGTAATGTTACAGCAATATATTTTGCATAATCCAAATGATGTTTTTATTTTTTTTTCTTCAAGCTATTTCCTGTGGTATTCCACCCCACCCTAAAAACGGTGCAATTGATGGCTCCAGATTTACATTTGGTAGTAAAGTAATGTTCAGGTAAGAGATCATTATATCTTGTTTTACATTTGAGAAATTGAGTAAAACATCAGGCGAAATACTGTGAAACAGGCATATACCAAAAAATACATTTATATCTACCTGTATTTATTTTTTTGTCTACCTACAGATGTGAAGAAGGATACGTTTTAATGGGTGAAGCAGAAGCAACATGTCTAGCAAATGGCAGATGGAACCATTCTTCCCCGTTTTGTGAATTAGTACAATGTCCCCTCCCAAAAGAAATAAAGAATGGAAAATATATCATGAACGGTGTGATGTACCTTTCTAATGTATCTTACACATGTGACGTGGGGTACAGGTAATCAGAAAACCAGATTTTATTTGGTATATACCATGTCCTTGTTAAAATTGCAGAAGAAAAACTAACATGTATTTATGAGTTGAAAAAATATGCAAAATGTTCTCCATATGGAATTTAAACTGCTTTTTATTATTTGGTGCAGTATGTTATTGCACACTGGAAGGCAAATGAGTTTCAAAATACTGTTTCCTAATCATTTTTGAAGCATGCGCATTCTGACTTGACTCAACATGGTTATTCAAGATTTGTGCTCCAAAGGTTATAATTCAGAAATGGTGCACAGGTAGTCCTTGATCTATAACCACAATTGAGGCCAACATTTCTGTTGCTAAGCAAGGCAGTTGTTAAGCGACTTTTGCCTCCTTTTACGACCTTGCCACGGTTGCTAAGTGAAGCACTGCACTTGTTAAGTTAGTAATATTCTGGCTAAGTGACTTTCTCTTCCCCATTGTCTTTGCTTGTCAGAAGGTCACAAAATGTGATCACATGACCCTAGGACACTGCAACTGATAAAGACATGCCAGTTGCCAAGTGTTGGATTTTTAATCATATGATCATTAGGATGCTGCAATAGACATAAATGTGAAAAATGGTCATAAGTCACTTTTTTTCAGGGTTGTAGCTTCGAACGATCACTCAGCCAATGGTTGTAAGTTGAGAACTAGCTGTATCTATCCTTGGAACGATTGTTAATCGAAGTTGAACAATTTCAATGAATCCTTAAATGAAAAAGAATATTTGTTGTCCTATTTGGACAGAAAGACCTTTTTTTCCCCCCCCCCTACTTTTTGATCTCACCCACTATCTACTCTATGTTGTTTGTTTGTTTGTTCCTTAGTCTACAAGGACCATCTGTACTTGTATGTGAAGCTTTAGGTAACTGGAACAGCTCGCCTCCAGATTGTGAAATCATTTCTTGTGGCCTTCCTCCAGTAATTAAAGATGCTATTGTTACTGGAAACAACTTTACCTTTGGAAATACCGTCACTTATACGTGTAAGGAAGGGTAGGTAAATCAGCATTAGGTTCTAGTAGTATCATTTGATGAAATGTTATTACCGTATTTGCCGGCGTATAAGACGACTTTTTTGCCCTGAAAAACATGCCTCCAAGTGGGGGGGTCGTCTTATACGCCGGGAGGACTCCGACTCCCACTTCGAGCTTGAGTTGCAGCCGGGAGGGAGGCTGGGGGGGGGAGCGGGGTGTGTGTGTGTGTGTGTGTGTGTGTGTGTGTGGCGGGTGTCACTCGCCACGCGCTGCGCAACCTTTCCCCCTCTTCCTTCCTTAGCGGTGTGGGGAGGAGAGGATTCGAAGATCCTCACGTGCAGCGTACTTTTCTTTTTCTTTTTTTCTTTTTGCACGCAGGTTTTGCATGCGGGCGGCTGTAGGTTAAGGATGGGGGAGCCCCCGGGTGGGTTATCAGGTTTTACGGTGCTTCCAACATGTGTGAACGGTGGGAGAGCGGAGAAGAGAGCGAGCGAGCGCCCCGCTGTGTGAAATCCTGCCGTCAAAGCAACACTGGGGGAGGCAGGGTATAAATTTACCAGGTTAATGTAGCAATGGTGATTAATGCCCAGAACATTGTTTGCGGGTATTGGGGTGTGTGTGTGTGTGTGTGTGGTGGTGGTGAGGAGAGGTTGTCCTTTGAATGCGGAAAAGTAGGTGTGACCTTGTGTAGGAAAATAAAGAGATCCTTTTTAGCGTGTTTGGCTTCTTTGCCTCCCCTCGTTCGTTTTGACGTGGAGATAATGGCCTTCGGGCGGGAGGGGAAGAAAACGGTAGCTGGATCATTTCAAATTTCACTTACTCTCCTGCCTCACTTCAATATGTCTGAGCGACTCCAGATACTGGAAGACTTTTTGAATGAAAGTGTTACCTCCATTTTTTTTTTAAAGAGGGCCACTTGGGGAAAAAAAAAGATTCTAAGCAATTCCTTGTTTCTTGATTAAAGAGAAGGCATTGAATATACTGTTCCTTGGCAGCCTTTTCAGTGTCCGGGTTTTTAGTGTGTGTGTGTGAGAGAGAGAGAGAGAGAGAGAGATCAGCTGTATTGAGAAGAGAACGTTTCCTGTGTTCTCATTTTATTTACAACATATTTTACGCTTAATGGTAAGCAATGAAAAATATTTTTAAAACTCATTTCTAAACTCCATAGCTATTTGCATATTCTTGGTTCAAAATTGGATTAGCTCATTTCAAAATTGTCCAAAGCAGAAAAGTGCGTCAAAAAAAAAAAAGTGCAAAAGTGGAAGGTGTGTGGAAGAGGGGGTAGTCTTATACGGCGAGTATATAACAAACTCTATATTTTGAGTGGAAATGTTGGGGGGTCGTCTTATACGCCCAGTCGTCTTATACGCCGGCAAATACGGTAATAATATTGTGGCTTTTTTCCCCTAAATCCATATTTCTGTATTCACCTAAGGCAGGTTTCCCAAAGTTTTACACTGCTGCAACTCCTTAAAATGATAAATAACTTTTTAGTAATCCTCCTTGAACCTATTGAATAATTTCATTAAGGTTAGGATTGGGTGAGAAAGAACTATTACCACTTAATTTTAATAATTCATTTTAAATCCGCATATCATAGGGTTTCTCAAACTTCATAGTCTTTCAGGGCAGCCAGATGCTATGTTGGCTCAATAGAAAGGTTTCCTCTGGGAAGGAGACGACAAGTAAGAGAGAGGACAATGTGTATCGTTGTGTGATGCTGTAAATAATACACACATCAGAAACTTTCCCACTCTGTAAAAGATTATTAAAGTTGTGCAGCAGTCCATATTCAAAGGGCAAAATGTAACATACTGTATGCAATATTTGTTGGGAATATCTTAAGACATTTGAATCTTTTTAGGGCCCAGTACCTGGATTTCAGGTTCATGACAGATGCAACATGCATGATATATCTCTTTTTATTCATATTTTGTTCTTTAAATCCAGATCACTGTGCCAAACTGTATGCATTGCCAATGTAGCTTTCTAAATAGTTGAGAAACTTGGGGAAATCATCACTGTACATTCAAAAAGTAAAATTGTGTTACTCCACCTTTGTTCCTATTCAAAAGAATACTCCAAACCTGGATTTCTGATTTTTTTTTTTAAATGGAGTATTAAATCAGGGAACTTATTTAATTAAAGCAAGCTTTTAGGAACTAACTTCTCCACTTGGAAGTTCTCTAGATGGAATCAATGAATTAATTTATCGAAAAGCAGGAACAAGTGCTGCTTAAACATCAATTAGGATAGAAAATGGCTACATGTTTCTATGTATTCAGCGTCTAAAAGGGTGAGAGATTAGTTCCTTTTTAAGAATGATTCATCAATGATTCAGCCTGTTGCCCTCCCCTCCTTGCAAACACTCATGCTTTTGTGTGTTTGTGTGTGTGTGTGTGTGTTATATATCTATGGATAATTTCCATAGATATATAAAAATGCAATTTCTATTATTGTAATGGTAAAAGGGAATTACAGGGAGTGTGATTTGGGACAGCTTGCAGCTGCTTAAGGAGCAAAGAAAGAAATTCAGAAAAGAGCCTCCATAACTTCTGAGACTGTAAAAGACAGCAGGAGATTCGTACAATCCAACCTGCAAGATTCTGCTAATATGACCTTACAATAAAGTAGAATTGCTCATCTGGTCATGTTTCCTATCTGGTATATCTGAGAAGGCTGTGACAATTACATACAGTGCCGTTAAAGTTGTCTCAGTTCTTTAATAACAATTGAAAATGTTCTGTGAAATTTATTGGAGTTCAGAGTGCTTAATTAAAGTTCTTGCTGGTGCTGGTGCACTTAAAAAAAACCACATTGGAATTATTTACAATAACAATGCCTTTTCACATATTAGCCAATTTTGACAGTGACTTTGAAATATGACTTTGTAGTCTTGTAAGTTAGAAGTTTATTTGTACAAGGCAATAAAAGTTGTCTACTCAACCCTTAAGAATCTATCCCTGCTATTTTTTCTAACCTATAGCTACACCTTACTTGGCCCTGACACTGTGTCATGTTTGTCCAATGGCAAGTGGAACCTCAGTCAACAACAGTGTGTGGCAGTATCCTGTGATGAGCCGCCTCCCGTGGAACATGCTTCTCCAGAGAGTGGGCATCGATTATTTGGCGATATAGCGATCTACTATTGCTCTGATGGGTACAGTCTAGCTGGCAATTCCCAATTACTTTGTAATGCCCAGGGCAAATGGATACCCCCTTCAGACCAAGATGTTCCTGAATGCATAGCTGACTTCTGCGAGAGACCAGAGTCTGTATCATACAGCATCTTGGAATCCTCAAACAAGGCCAGATTTTCAGCTGGGTCGGTTGTGAGCTTCAAGTGTATGGAAGGTTTCGTTTTAAACACTTCTGCTAAAATAGAATGTGTACGAGGGGGTCAGTGGAACCCATCTCCCTTGGCGATCCAGTGCATCCCCGTTCGTTGTGGAGAACCAGCAAGCATTGCAAATGGGTATTCAATTGGCACCAATTACAGTTTTGGGGCCATTGTGGCTTATAGCTGTATTAAAGGCTACTATATTAAAGGAGAAAAGAAGAGAACGTGTGAAGCAACAGGAACTTGGAGTGGTACTATGCCCACCTGTCATCCAGTGTCCTGTGGTGAGCCACTAAAACTTGCAAATGGAATGATTAAGGTATTGGTATAGTCTTGAACGTAAGCAAAATAATGTTTTGTGCATTTGGTGCAGTCAACATACTGTCTGAAATCCTGAAAGCTTATTATACGAGGGCTATCCACAAAATAGATTATGTTTTCGTCTGTAGCAAGAAGGGGTGGAGCTAGCGTGGCCATCTTTGGTCTGTGCGTCCGCCGCTCAGTCTACATCTAGTCGTGCTAGTGGGAGGTTCATATCGTTGCCCGTTATTTCACAGCAGACGTTTGAAATGTGTGCTGCAATTGAAAATCCCGCGAGTTGTGAGGTGCGATCAGTGATAAGGTTTCTGTTGGCAAAAAACCATAAACCGATTGAAATTTTTCGGCAACTGTGTGAAGTGTACGGGGACACTGAAGGTGGAGTGCGCCAATGGTGCATTAAGTTTAAAAATGGCCGAACTACGGCACTCGAGAAGTCCTGAATGCTTTCAAGTGGGAGATTTTTCCTCATCCGCCCTACAACCCCGATCTTGCACCAAGCGAAAGCATTCAGGACTTCTCGAGTGCCGTAGTTCAGCCATTTTTAAACTTAATGCACCATTGGCGCACTCCACCTTCAGTGATGATGTTGTCCCCGTACACTTCACACAGTTGCTGAAAAATTTCAATCGGTTTATGGTTTTTTGCCAACAGAAACTTTATCACTGATCGCACCTCACAACTCGCGGGATTTTCAATTGCAGCACACATTTCAAATGTTTGCTGTGAAATAACGGGCAACGATACGAACCTCCCACTAGCACGACTAGATGCAGACTGAGCGGTGGACGCACAGACCAAAGATGGCCACGCTAGCTCCGCCCCTTCTTGTTACAGACGAAAACGTAATCTATTTTGTGGATAGCCCTCGTAGATCCTAAGATCCTGAAAACTTACTAAAAGTGAGCTAATTTTTGGAGTTACGGGGATATTAGGCAAAATCAGAAACGTGGTGCCATAGGATAGCTGCAATATTTATGGCACTGATATTTCCAAATCTGGGAAGCTTTTCAGCAGGTAAGCAGGAAGATTTGCAGTAGTGCCAGAAATATTTGGTTGTTCTGCAAAAGCACTGAGAGGGTATTAAATCTGTACACACATGCATATACATACACAGAGACACATTTTAGATATAGATACATATTTCATGTCTGTCAAAACTTTGTAAACTAACATTTCATAAATTGGGTGCAGAAAGCCCACATTCTGCTTTTTTTTTTTTTAAGTGAGAGATAAGTTAGCTATTGTTCCATAAAATCAGATTGTTAAGATTTTGATGGTATATCACTCAACTATAACATTTATTTCATCCATTTTACAGAATATGACAGGACGTTCCTTTGGAAGTGAAGTGACATACCAATGTAATGAAGGTTACCAGTTGATCGGAAGTTCAAGGTTATTTTGCCAGTCAAATCGTCAGTGGTACAGTGAAGCACAACCTTCTTGTGTGATCCTCAATTGTGGAGAACCACCTACCTTCCAGCACGGATTCAGCAAGGGGAAAAAATTTGAAGTGGGAGCCAAAGTCAGTTTTTTCTGTGTTGAAGGCTATGAATTGATTGGAGATGTTTCTTGGACCTGTCAGAAATCAGGAAGGTGGAACAAAAAGCAGAGCCCTCAATGCATCCCAACTAAGTGTCCAGAGCCACCTTTAACAGAGAATCAACTTGTCTTGAAGGAGATGGCTGATCAAGTAGGGATAGTGCAGTTGTCGTGCAGAGAAGGTCTTATTTTGTATGGTGCTTCCATCCTGAGATGTTTGTCATCCCAACAGTGGAATGACTCTTTTCCTGTCTGCAAAATGGTACTCTGTCGTAGACCTCCTTATATTCCTTTTGGGGACCCTGTGGTGTCTTCTCTGCATTTTGGTAGCACAGTGAGCTACACATGTATGGATGGATTTTTGCTCAAGGGAACATCTACCATTATTTGCCAAGCAGATGGTACATGGAGTTCTCCACTTCCAGAATGCATTCCTGTGGAATGCCCACAGCCAGAGGAAATTCAAAATGGTATTGTAGATGTGCAAGGCCTCACCTATCTCAGCACGGCACTGTATAGTTGTAAACCAGGTTTTGAATTAATGGGAAACACCACAATTCTTTGTGGAGAAGACGGAGGTTGGCTTGGAGGAGAGCCTTCTTGCAAACCCATTGAGTGCTCCAAACCCAGGGAGATTAAGAATGGCCGGTATTCATACGTTGATCTACACTACACACACACAGTTACCTATTCGTGTGACAGAGGATTCCGGCTTGAGGGACAGAGAGTCCTAACCTGCCTGGAAACAAGGGAGTGGGATACAAAGGCTCCATCTTGTAGAGCAATTAATTGCGATCCTCCTCAGCCTATTGAGAATGGGTTTGTAGAAGGTGCAGATTACAGTTATGGTGCCATGGTTATATACAGCTGTATTCCAGGATTCCAGCTTTCTGGTCTTGCTATGCAGATCTGTGAGGAAACAGGATGGTCCAGTGTTAGTCCAGCTTGTCTACCAACAGACTGTGGCCTTCCTCCCCATATAGACTTTGGGGGATATGTAACCATCAGCAGTGAAGAAAAACATTTTGGCCAAGAAGATGTATTTGACGGGAGCTTCCTTAAGGAAAGCCAATCTCATTTATCTCGAAAAGAGACACAACATTCCTCAAAAGCCATTAATAGTTTACCACTCTCCGGCTATTTATATGGGACTACAGTGTTGTATAGTTGCTATTCGGGCTATGAACTCTTAGGAAATTCTGTGCTAGCTTGCCAAGAAGATGGAATGTGGAATGGTAGTGCTCCTGCCTGTATTTCCATTCAATGTGAATTACCACTGTTCCCAGAAAATGGCTTCGTACATTTTACGGAGAACACTGTTGGTAGTACAGTGAAATATACTTGTAACCCAGGGTACAAGCTGATTGGATCAGATACAAGACACTGTACGTCTGGAAGGCAGTGGAGTGATTCAGCACCAACCTGCGAGATAATATCATGCGCAATGCCCAGCAGACCCACGAATGGCATAGTAAAAGGACAATCTTACACATATGGTAGTGTGGTCCAATATGATTGTGATCATGGGTTTCAGCTAAATGGTTTAGCTAGGAGAACCTGCCAGTCTGATCAAACATGGGATGGGAATGAGCCACTCTGCGTTCCCATTTCCTGTGGACAAGTTCCCTATTTAGAGAACGGTGAAGTGAGTGGAGAAGAATACACTTTCCAAAACTATATTGAATACAGCTGCAAAGAAGGTTTCCTGTTGAAAGGGGATCGGAAGAGAGTTTGTCTTGCAGATGGATACTGGAGCGGGAGCACTCCAGTGTGTAGGCCAGTCCGGTGTTCTGAACCAGTGAAACTTGTTCACGGCCAGATAATTGGATCAGAATTCGGCGTTGGAAAGACCATTACGGTTTTCTGTGATGAAGGGTATATATTGCGCGGCGCACTCTCTCGTACCTGCCAGGCTAATGGAACATGGGATAAAGAACCTCCATTCTGTGAACCTGTCAACTGTGGGCCTCCTGAGGACATCTCTCATGGGTTCCTAAATGGTTCTGTCTTTAGTTTTGGGGAATACATAGAGTATGTTTGCTTCCCTGGTTATGAGTTGCAAGGTAACCCAGTGAGGCAATGCCAGTCAAATGGTTTATGGAGTGGAAGACCCTCTTCTTGCCTGCTTTGTGAGTGCCCTATACCCACCATTCAGAATGGGATAGTTATAGGTAATCATTTTAGCTGCGGCAAGAAGATAGAACTTCAATGTCTAGAAGGTTTCAAACTGCTAGGACCTTCAGAAATCACATGTGAAGCTCTTGGCAGATGGAGTTCTGGCTTTCCACATTGTAGGCTGATTTCCTGTGGTCCTCCCCCTGTGATTCCCTATGCGTTTATCAACGGAGGCAGTTTAGTGGATCAAAATACCATAATTTATCATTGTGAGATGGGCTATGTGATGCAAGGAAGCTCGGAATTGACCTGTACAGAAAAAGGAGTCTGGAGTAGGCCATACCCAAATTGCACATTACTGACCTGTGGACCACCACCTACTGTGCCTCATGCGATTGCTTTTGGAGAATCTCAAGACTATGGAAGTAAAGTTCAATACAGGTAAGAAGTGTTAATAATTTCACATTGGAAGGAAGGAAGTCTGGTTAAGAGTTTCACAGAGATCTAGAGTTCTCTAATAAAGCTTATGAATACGAAATAATTTCTGAATTACACTGCCAGGAGTTCCCCACCATTAATCAGGAATTATACATCCCAAGTAGGTTATCCTCAATTGCATTGCAGTAATTAGCTTTTGAATCAATAAGGTGCAATTCTGCAGAGCACTATCTGAAGCAGGAAGGTTAGCAATACTCAGTCCAGCGAAAAGATGAAAGTCTTTATGAATGATGTAGTCAATATGTTAACAGTTATCAGTCATGTTAAGTAAATTTTTTGGTGATTATTATTAAGCTTGTTCTTCCATCAAACAAACATTTGCAGGAATAGGTCTGTGAAGTTTTGTTTTTTTTAAATTGAAATTGCCAGTTGATGCATTTCAGGGCAAATAACTAAAGGGGAAGAATGATTAATGTGGAATGTACAACAATTCTTATGGGTGACAAAAGTTTACCTTGTTTCAGATGTCTGGAGGGTTATATGATAGAGACAGAAGTGGATATATGCACCTGTCAGGAAGATGGGCATTGGTTCCCTAACACTATTTCCTGTTGCCCCAGAAAATGTCCCATGCCACCAAATATAACCAATGTTATTATTTCTGGTACTGAATTTTCTGTGAATAAAAGCATTACCTTATCATGTCCAGAAGGCTATCTTTTGATGGGTACCAGCACCTCCACTTGCCAGGTAAATATTTTTTCCCCTCCAATCTGTTTTGCTTTGGTTATAAAAAGCCCTGTCTTATAGCCATATATCAATAGTGAGAGTTTGTCACGCTAAGCTTGTCAACTGGAAAGCTGATAGACTGGGTTCAAGCCCCGAGTGCCACATGACAGGGTGACTTCCTGTTCCTTGCCCCAGCTCCTGCCCACCTAGCAGTTGGAAAGCATGCAAACGTGAGTAGATAAATAGGTACCACTTTGGCGGAAAGGTAACAGTGTTCTGTGTACCTTGGCATATAGTCATGCTGACCACATGACCATAGAAGCGTCTTCGGGCAACACTAGCTCCCTTGGCCAAGAAATAGAGATGAGCACTGGCCCTTAGAGTCAGATAGGACTGGACAGGGAAACCTTTACCTTTACTTTTTATTTTGTACAAGTTGAGGTAAGCATGGGCCCCTGTCTTCTATTTTCTCAGTACCAACTTTAGAAATTGGATTGAGTATAACGGTCAAAATTATCCAACTGATTTTCATGCCTAGGGAAGAATCAGAACTTGTGATTTTAATGGTTGTAATCTCTACACTGAACAGGCTCTTTTATGTATAATTTAACTTGTTTGTAATTATTTTCATTGATTAGCAAAGCCAAAGATACTTTCCTTTTCTTTCAGCATAATGGGACCTGGGCACCATTATTTTCAAATGAGACCTGCGCTCCAGTCTCCTGTGGAAAACCTGAAGCTCCGGAATATGGGGTTGTGATTGGCAACCAATACAATTACAAAGATATTGTCCTTTATAAATGTGACTTGGGTTTTGAATTAGAGGTAAGTCTATGGAATATTTTCTATAGCCTGTTCCTTTGTGTATCATCCATGCAATATCACATTAGTTTTAGATCAGGAGAAAGTTAATTCATAAAGCTTTTTCACTACGATCATTTTTTCTTAGAATAGCTTCTTCCATTCTTGGGTAGAAAGTCTGAAAATAAAATACAGTTTTGTTACAGGCTTATGAAGGATGCATTTAGGCTTTACTTGCTGCTTGTCTCACTAAAGAAAAAGATCAACCCATGTTAAAAGAAACAAAATGCAAAAATAAAAATTGCACTGCATTTACAGTTAACATGAAGGCAACTTCTTCAGGAGAACAGTGTTTAAAATGCTCAGGCATTGCTTGCTTAGGTTCAGAAGTTTGGGGGAAAGAGAGACACAAGAAAGAGTTTAGCCGTGGTCATAAAATACAAGAATGTGGTCCTGTATTTTGCATTGTTGGTATTGGTCATTCCTTAATTTTCATGGGTTTGTTTTATTAAATGAAATCATTGTGCATCTTAAAGTGAGCAAAATAGAGATTATGTGACTAGTAAACACAAGAATCATGGATGTTAGTGAGGGAAGGATCCATTTTTTAACCAAAAAAGGAACAACCCATTGTTACTTTCCTGTTGCATAGTTGTCTGAATGGTGTTACATCAGTATTATTGTATACAAATCTACTAATTAATTCTGCCAAAGCAGCTCTTGCATGAAGGCTTTCAGTATGAGCAGTGGAGGTTATCAAATTCTTAGTATTTCAGCATCTACTTCAACAACATCTAAAATTAAAACATGTTTTTAAAAATAGCCTACTAGAAATAGGAAATAGTCACATTTCATTTGGAAATTTGTCACACTTACTTGTGATCATCCAGCCCTTTTTTCAATAAAAGAAATTAAGAAAATACCATAGTAAGAATGAAGATCAGGTTTATCTTAAGGGAATTGTATTTCTCACGTACATGCGATTCCATCATTTATTACAATGTTTTCCTCACATTTCTATCCAAGGACCAGCAAAGTGGTGAGTAGTCTAAAAAAAAAACAGTAATAAAATTATCATTGCTTTATATTTTTTTAAAGTAATATAGCAATGGACATTGTTTTTTTCCAACACAAATAAAAAATCCTACCCCCAATGCTTCAATAAAGCAACAAAGGTTTAGCTTGTATTTATCCTTTAAATCTGGTTTTTATTTATTATGATGGGGGATTCAGGAGAGAAAAGATCAAGTTATTGCTAAATAACAGCTAAGAGAAAAATGGATATCCTATTATCAAATGTTGGCTTCTCCTCTTCATTAAATCATGCAGAATGTAAACCAAAGGCGTATCTGTTTTTTAAAGATTGTGAGGGTATGACAAAATGATGGATATATCATGGTGTTTCTTGAACCATTCTCTTGTCTGATAGGGTAATGCAGAACGCATCTGTCATGGAGATAAATTATGGAGTGGAGTAACACCAGTATGTAAAAGTAAGTGATGGATTCATTTATTTCCTCTCAGGCTTAGGTTGAATGTGATTTTTAAAAAGATAGAAAGACATTCTATATTTTTTTTATTTTGCCTGCGGAAGCTAAACAATGTTTAACAGTATTTAAAATATCACTTATTTATATGAGGATAATGTAATAATAATAAAGCTAGACAGATAAAAATGCCAAATCTGGTCTAAACATCTGGCTCACTGTGCAATGAACTCTAATAATAATAATAGAAGAGAAAGAATTAGAGAAAAATCACAAAATACGAAGACTTGCAAATAGAAGTTTTTGCCTGTGGCAAAGCAATAGCCATAGACTTATATACCACTTCGTAGTGCTGTGCGGCCCTCTCTAAGCAGTTTATAGAGTCAGCATATTGCCCCAACAATCTGGATCATCATTATATCAGCCTCAGAGGATGGAAGGCTGTGTCAACCTTGAGCTGGTCAGGATCAAACTCCAGACTGTGGGCAGAGTTTGCCTGCAATATTGTATTCCAACCACTGCGCCACTAGGGGAAAAAATAGCACCAATATTTCCTATTGAACAAGGACATACATTTGGAAAGAGTTCTATTATACTGTCCTCTATCAAATCCAATGTATAGATTGCTTATGATTTTAGTAATTACAGATAGTTCTTACTTAACAACTGCCCTATTTAGTAACCATTCAAATTTACAACAGCATCGACAAATTTGATTGAGATTAGTGCACTTCACAACCATTATCTGTTTAGGATGATCACAGTGACCTGCACTCAAGTGGTGTTGTGGTTAGCCGGCAGCAGGTGCGGACAGCTGAGCAGAGCGAGGACTCAGATGAGGGGCCAGGACCATTAGGAAGATTGTGGGGGCTGGCAGCAGCAATGAGGAGGTTCCCAAGGAGCCTGTGCCAAGTGCGTGTGCACGCAAGATTGCTCGCAGGAAAGAGTAGCTGCAACAGCATGGGTGACTCGGGAGTAAGGCTGCAAGGTAATGGCCCCTCCTTCAAGAAGATAAAAGCCAGCTGTGAATGAATGCACTTTGCAGGAAGCAAAGACGTTTTGAAACTCATCCTCATGGACATTAAAGTTGGTATTTGAAGACTCTTGTGTTGTGAAATATTTCTTTTTTTTAAAAAAAAACAAGTTTTATTAATTTTTAAAACACACAAATTATCATTATTCATTACATGTTTAAACCTTTTTCCATTGTAAATTTAACAAGTCAGATAAATTATGATTCTGTTTTAAACCATTTCCATATAATATACCAAAACCTCTTATTCAATTTCTCTTTACTTCTCTTTACTCTTATTCAATATCATTATTATTATTTCATCTGATTCTTTCTGACTTAGTTACCATTATTCTCATTCTATATTTCTACAAGTTTTTACCAATTCTCCCCCCAAAAAAGACATATACACACAACACACAAAACATAAAAAAAAATCTTTTTGGAAAGTAACTTGGACCCAGGTGTCTCTCTCTTCATGGACTTCAATTATATTCATGCTCATCTTACATATCATTACTTATTTTATTTACCATTCTAAGCCTTCTATATTAACTTCTCCACGTATTTCACACTTCTTAATTCTACCTTAATTAATCATCTTAGTTTAAATCATTATATTTGTATCTTTTGTCCATTTTTTATCATCCCTTTGTCTCATCCCTTATGAAAAAAAAGAAAATCAGTTTCTCCTGAAATCATTAATCAGAGTATGATGCCTTTCTATCTCCCCCCTAAGTTAATCAAATTAATCTTTAAAATAATATCTAATACCCAATCAGATTTTGCTTGGTACATTCTATCTAACTAATACATCCAACACAATTAAGTGCATAATTAGACAATAAATCCAAATATTAAAAAAAATACTATAATAAAAATTTTATAATAACATCAATACCATAATTTTATTAAACTCTTTAATTAAAACAATATTCTAAACCTCTCCTATTATTAAGTTTTAAAGCCAATCATTTTTAAACATTTTAACATTTTAATCTCTTATCAACTCTTAAACCATTGCAATACTACCATCTCATCTTATGTACCTTGCAAAATCTTTTTTTAAAAAAAAAATTATACTTTATCCATTATCCATAAAAAATTCCTTTTTTCCATTTAATTTCAAAACATTGTAGCTTTTCTCCACCTTTTCCCTTTCTTTCTTCTCCCAACAAACCTTTCTACCCCCCCTTCTTCTAGCCTCTGCCTTACCGGCTTCCCTTCTCTGTCGTATTTCTTTTCCCCTTTGTTTACAATCATCATATTGGTTTTGCACTTTATTTTTCCCTTTCTTAAATGTTTTTTTAGATCTTAAGTCCTTAAGTCCTTTAGTTTTCTTCTTTTCTCTTCTTTTCTTTTCTTTCTCTCTTCCTTTTTTCTGGATCAAATTCTGAGATTCATTAAAGATGGCTCCTTCCTTTCTTTCTTGTTCCTCTGCTGTCTTCATCTGTTGTAATTTTTGTTGATAATTAGTAAGCGCCATTTCTAAGAAAAGGAAAGCTTCTTCCACACCATCTTTACCATTTTTTTTTGCTTGTTCATATTCTTTTCTTAGTTCCTCAACAGAAAGAGCCATTATAAATCTTTTCTTTTCTTTTCTCCTTCTTTCTTCTTACAACAACCAGAATATTCAAAAGAAAATAAAAAAGATAAAACAGTCCCAAAGTTATCAATCAGTCCAAACCAAGGCAGAGTTCTCACTTTCTCCTTCTGGGGTAATATCAATCAAAGAGAAAGAAAGTCCAAATCTGTTTAAAATCTTATTACAATATATTCTAGTCTTCAAATCCTTAAGGCATCTGCTCCAACAAAATCTTAGCATACAAATATTTTCTTTTTAATCCTCTCTCTTCCCACTCATCGCTTAAAACCAATTTCCACCTAAAAAAATAGGTTTCTTAATATCCAGTTATTTATTCCGTAGGAAAAGAGGGAAAGCTATCCTTTCAGCACCTTCAAGCAGCCGCTTTTTTCCTCTTCTGGCAGGTATTATTCAGAAAGTCATACTTTTCAGGAATTTTATTAAATATGTCTTAGAGTCCTAGGAGCCAAGAAAAACTTTCTCCTCTCAAGCACTTTCTCCACTTCCTCCTGCGCATTCTTACCCGGCTGCCTGCTTCTTTGTGGCGGCCATTACGGACCACCGCTGCACCGTCCTGGGAAAAGGGGGTTCTGCCGGCCAGGGAGGGGGTCTGCAACACCCCCAGTCCCTTCTCCGGATCCCCCCTACCTTCAGCTGCCCCTGCAGGGCAGCCTAGCTCCGTACCCGTGTGGGTCGGAGCCCCAAAAACGGCTAGCGCGGCAGGGATCGCGCAGCTTCGCAAATCCCTGCCGCTCGCGAAGCCGACAAACCGGAAGATTGTTGTGAAATATTTCTTATCTGTGATTCTTGGCAGTCTTGCACAGTTTTGGCAAGGTTGGTGCTTATCAAAGTTAATTAGTTTGCAGCAGCCTTTTAATCGGGGATTCGTAAGACTCATTAAAAGGTTTCTGTTCCCTTTAGTTATTGTTTGTCTTATTGGAAAAGGGTTTGGGTCAGAACAAGTGGTTGCAATTTTCAGGCTTCATAAATAGCTTCCGATTAGTAGAATCAGTGGAGAAAATGGCAGCAAAATTGTAAGTCGGGGTTATGTCTTGCTTAATGACTTGGAATGACTCAGTGAACAAATGGGAAGCAACACTGTGAGTTCATCGCAGTCACATAGTATTTCACTTAATGACTGCATCACTTAGCAATGGAGTGTGGGTCCCTATTATGTTTGCTAAGCCAGGCTACCTGTAGACCTCTGCAAAACCCTTTTGGATGAATCAGTCACTATCCCACTCTTGCCAGCAAAATAATCTATATGTTCACCTTCAGAAATATCCTGTGGTTCCCCCAAACCAGTAGATAATGGATCTGTTGTTGGCAAAGGCTTTTTACTTGGAGATGAAGTTCTCTACAGTTGTAATCAGGGATATGAGTTACAGGGGCCAACTGGAAGGATCTGTAATGTTAACAAGAAGTGGGTGCCATTAGCTCCGACATGTGTGAGTAAGTAATAATCCATGCACGTTGGCAAAAAATCATGTCCTAAGCATACAGCCCAAGAAGAAATAGAATAAATCATAAATTACAGGCATAAGGATTGTTTTGTTTTGTTTTGTTTGTTTTGTAGGCATAAGATGTGAAGCCCCTCCAACAGTAGCAAATGCATTTTCCATAGCCACAGAAAATATGTACAGAAGTAATATATATTTTGTATGCAATTTCGGGTATCACTTACGTGGACCTGAGAACATCACCTGCTTAGCCAATGGATCTTGGAGTCAACCCCTTCCAACATGTGAAGGTGATCATGGGGTTTTGTTTGGGGCTTGTGATTCTTCCAGATTTGTTGTGGCTGGAATCTATTCCGAGCCAATAGGCTAAATTGAATACATCACCTCTTACTCCAACTCCAAGGTATATGTAGTAGTGCCTCAGAATTCCACATCAAAAGTAGTTGTAGGTCTTCAAATCCTTTTTAGACAATGAAAATTCATCCAGAAGATTCTCTTTTTTTAAACAAGGTTTATTCAGTTTTCCACATTTTGACACCTCTTTTTAGTGAACAGCATGATTCCAGGTTTCACATATACATACAAATATGACTATAGTTACATATTCAATTTTTCTATCCAGTTTCTTATCAATGCTTTTATACATTTTCTATTTTATTGTATTATTCCAAATACTTATCTCATTATTTAATTCACTTATGTTAACTTCATAATCATTATACTTTAGTACTTTTAACTGTCACATTTGTATATTTCATCTTAAATTCTAGTTAAAAAACACTTCTTCTGTAAATTGGTTTTCCCCCTGAAATATCAATATAAGTGCGCCACCTCTAAGTTACATATTCATTAATTTTCACCCCTTTTAAATCCCATTAAACATTTAGCATTATTACCTAAAACATTAAACTTGATAATCCCTTTAAAACTACATAGCATATATAAATCAGATTCTGCATGGCTTTTCCCCTTTTTAATTTCATTAAATTTTTCAAAAGAGAAGGACATATTAATCTACTCATTCAAACAATAAAACAATCCTAAACCCTAAGGTTAATTCCATTTCAGCTCTCCTCCTATATCATTTCATTTATTTCAGTATATTTAATACACATATTCCATTAATTATTCCATTCATATTAAAATTTAAAAAAAGCCAACATTCCAATCCTAAAAATATTTCAATACATTTAATAAGCTTATTCCACAATTATTTCTATGCATAAAGAAGAAGAGCATTAGATTCCATTATCAAAAAATAGTAATTCTGTTTTCCATCTTATCAATCTATATGTCCCTATTTCATAACTATAAATTTATTCATATTACCCCCCAAAGAAGATTCTCTTGATTACAGGTAGTCCTCGACTTACAACCACAATTTCTGTTGCTAAGTGAGACGTTTATTAAGTGAATTTTGCCCCGTTTTACAATCTTTCTTGCCACAGTTGTTATTTATCATGGCCGTTGTTAAGTTAATGACAAGGTTGTTAAGTGAATCTGGCTTCCGCATTGACTTTGTCAGAAGGTCCCTAAAGGTGATCACATGACCCCCGGGACACGGCAACCATCCTAAATATCAAGCACTGAATTTTAATCACGTGACCTATGGGGATTCTACAACAGTTGGAAGTGTGAGAAATGGTCATAACTCACTTTTTTTACCGCCTTTGTAACTTTAAACGGTCACTAAACGAACTGTGATAAGTCAAGGACTACCTGCATTATTAGTGATTGAACGGAGAAGAGATACCTTAACTATAATACCCTGCTTTTTAGAAACCAGATGTGAAGATCCAGAATTGATTGAGAATGGAAACGTCGTCTCTGAAAACAATATAGTTGGCAGCAGAACTGCATATTACTGCAATAGGGGTTACAGTTTGGAAGGCGAACCGATTGCAGAATGCACAGAAACCGGAGTATGGAGCCACCCAACACCTTCGTGCAAACGTATGTTACTTTTTAATAATAGATAGTAGATGTTTTACTTTAAAATATCCCAAAACTGAATTCTGGATATTATTTCCCCCCCAAAAAAATGTTCAAATTCATGAGATATATCTATTAAAATTTAACAAGTCGGGAAAGTCGCTTCTGGAATATATGTTACATTATGACCATTATTTCTTTTTTATTGAAGTTTTTAATAATCATACAGATAGTCCTCGAGTTAAAACAGCCATGGACCGTCACGTGACTTTGATTTGTCTTCTGTATTCCCATTTTGGTAATCTCAGTATTATTCTCTTCCATGCTTCCAAACTCTGTTATGTTCTGATAAAAGATTTTAAGTTTCTTTTCTCGTAATCTTCTAAAAGTTTTATCTATTTAAACTTTTATCTGTATCCTTCCTGAAATATATTTTATGAATATCTCAGGCCAGTTATCCACAACTCTTTTAAGATAAGAAAAAGTTACAGCTGGCTTAGCCATTTTTAACTCTTTTCTACTTTGTGCTTTAGCTCCCTCTAGTGTCCATTTGCAGCCTTCTTCAAATCTCAGTCCTATGGATTTAGTTAATTTCAGTCATTTGCCACCAAGTATATTATTTAATTACGTGCCTGTTTTTCAAATCTTACAGCAAAAATAATCGATGTTCCAAATCTCTCTGGTCTCCCAATCCATTTAAAACTTCCTTAAATCAAAATCCTAGGTTGGTTCTCTCCTTGAGTAGTTTCCAGCCAACCTAGAACGAAGGAGAAATTTCCTGAAAGAATAATTAATCAATGGAATGACTTGAAGTTGTGGTACTCCACCAGTGGAAGCGATTGGGCAGCCATTTGTCTGAAATGGTATAGAGTTTTCTGCTTGATCAGGGGCTGGACTAGAGCAGGGGTCCTCAACCCCAGTCCATGGCCCAGTACTGGACTGCAGCCTGTTGGGAACTGGTCCACGCAAGCCGTGGGCAAGTGCCCAAAGCTTCATTTGTACATGCGTGGGATGAGGTTGTGCGCACAAACCCATCACCTCCCTCACTGCCCCCAACCCCCCCATGCGCTGCCACCACCACCACCAGTCCGTGCAGCCAAAAGGTTAGGGACCACTGGATTAGACGACTTCCAAGGTTCCTTCCAACTCTGGTGTAGGGTCTCCCGCTTGGGCGGGGGGTTGGACTAGATGACCTACAAGGTCCCTGCCAACTCTGATTATCTGTTAAATCTGTTATTCTGATAAAATCCTTTTTTTTATTTCTGCCAATTATATATTATTTAAAATTATTATGCCTTTGTTTAAAACTTCTTAAACTGATTAAATTGAACATTTCCAAATGTGATTTAAAAAATTAGTTTGACTGGCCTCATGTCCTTATTAAAGACTCCAATGTTCTGGCAACAATGTCAACTCCTTCAGCTCCTGGTGCTCAATCCCACAGGAGACCATAAAACACAGGTGTCAAACTCGCAATGTTACGTTGCCGTCATGTGACATATCACAATGTTTTTCCCCTTCACAGAGCTGGGGTAAGTATGGCCTGCACATGACGCATCTGGCCTGCAGGCCGCCAGTTTGACACCCCTGCCATAAAACAGTGGTTTTATGGTCTCCTCGAAAGGAACTGCCATTCAGAACAATTGTAGGAGATTTTCCATTCTGTCCTCCTCCAGAGAGTATCTAAGGATCGGTCTATTAATGAGTCATCAGTCTATTAAGCTACTTGCGTTTGCGTGGCATCAGCATTCCGACTTCGCTCCCACACCTTCCAGCCATCTCCATCGCTGCTTCAGCCTGTCTGTGCCGCAGCCCCCCTCTTGCCGGAACAGCACCATTACCTCATCCTGGCCGGCGAGGGCTGCACTGCTTTTTGCACATTTCACCAACCGCAAATTTGCACATTACACGTGTCACCCCCTACAGCGGAGATTTCCAACCCCACCACGAGCCGGTCCCATATTCCAGAGCTGCAGTAGCCACAAGACTGGCCCTTTGGTCATCCTGTCCGGAGCAGCTCCTCCAGTCCATGGCAGGCCGGTGCACCCGGGTGCAGTGGTGGGATTCAATTTTTTTTTACTACCAGTTCTGTGGGCGTGACTTGGTGGGCATGGCAGGGGAAGGATACTGTGCAAACTCCAGTCAGAGGTGGGATTTGCCGGTTCTCTAAACTACTCAAAATTTCCGCTACTGGTTTTCCAGAACTGGTCAGAACCTGCTGAGTACCACCTCTGCCCAGGTGGAGGAACAGCTGCTCCGGGATGAGCAAAGGGCCAGTCCTGTGACTACTGCAGCTCTGCAATATGGGACCGACTTTCCCACCAACGTCAGCAAGCCACCTTCAGTCAAAATGTATATTAGTGCTCTGCGATATTTAAAATTATGAGTTTGGTGGTCCCTGAAGTCCAACCCCTGCTTTAGAAGACTATTGCTTGTAAAGGAATTATAATTTCTAATTCTGTAGAAGGCCATACTGCTGACTGGCCATGAGATAATTGTCTACAGTGTATGTCTGTTTCTATACGCATCCTATATATTTAGAATTTTCAACCATATTTCTAAAATATTTATTTCACTTTCAAAAAAGACTATGTGTTTGCTATATAATAACATTTGCTATAAATGTCTTAATTGACCTCAAGGTGGCAGCAAAGATACACTGAGTCAAATTGTAGAACCAAGCAAGGCATGATGTAATTTTTTACTTACAACATTTCAACATTTTAAAACAATATTTTGAGGAAGAAACAGAAATATTTTTACCCAATGTTTCTAATCAAAAATTGAGCTTTTGAGAAACCTCAGATGTGTGGGTGCATGCATCCAATAATATTTGTGACCTTGGTGGCATACAAACATCCATAAGACAAGCCAAAAACATTCAAAAAATCTTTAAAATAATCATTCTGAGGTCAGTAAAATGAGGACCCAGATTCTTTGGGGCAATATGCTGACTCTGTAAACCACTTAGAGAGGGCTGTAAAGGACTGTGAAGGGGCATATAAGTCTAAGTGCTACTGCTATTTAAAAAATCGGAGTAAAAAATGTTTGAACTCCATTTCTAAACTAAAAAAAAAAAATTCAACTACAACAAGATTTCACTGATACTAGGGGAAAAAAACTCAGATGTTCTTCTCTGTGTCCAAATACCATTTGAATTGCTAGAATTAAGCCCTGATCAGTTTACAGTCTCTACATATTTGAAAAAAATAATGTCAACTTGCCTGTATGTTTTTATTATCTTGGGAGGTTTTCTGCTGCCCGTTGCCTTATGTAAGACAAGTAATAAATCTATTGAGAGCTTTTTCAGTGTTTTTATCCCATTTATGGAATCCTTCCTCCAGTTGATTAATTGGCTTGATTTGTATATTGCCATAATTTTCAAGGACTCTCAGTGGTCAACAATAGCATTTAAAAATACAGTAAACATAGAGCAGTAAGAATCTGCAAATGCCATCACCCTAGATTTTCCCCAAATGTTCTTCAGAAAAGCCTTATTTGAACCAACTTCTGGAAAGAAAGAAAGAAAAATAAGAATATAGCAAAGAAAAAGGAATATATATATATATATACACACACACACACACACATATACATATACATATACATACATACATACATACATACACACACACACACACACACATTTATGTGCGTGTGTGTGACAGAGAGAGAGACTTCTCCCCTTCATGATAACCAATGTAAACAATTTTAGTAACTTACTTTTTCTTAAAATATAGCCAATAATATCTTCTAACCATATCCCATATCTTATCTATAAACAAATATGTAAAGCCTCATCATATTAGTCCTGATATCAGCAAATTTCCATAGAATGTTAACAGAAATAACATCGTATCTATTTTAACCTTGATCAAGTAAAACAAGTTTATAGTCCTTCCTTTTACTTCTAACGATCTTGATCTTTAGACCCGTCAAATAATGTCCTATAACTTAATTTCTTTTCGATTTTTCTTTGTCCCCTCTCACAAGATTCTTAAAGCTTTAAAAACCTCTTTTCTAAATACAATATTAAAAAGTATCTGGGTCACTCTCTTGGTATGTTATTTGTATATCCCTTTTAATTAAGAGATCAGCCCATTCCTTTCGTATTTCCAGTGTAACATCTGTCTCTGTCATTTTTGTAGTTTGTCATTTTTTAATTCAACTTTCAGATCGATCTCAATTATGTCACGTAAAACTTGTTCTTCTTCCATACTGTCTTTTATGCACAGTTTTTCGATAAAGGCATACACTTTTAAAACTAATTTCTGGCGCCATTGTTCAAAAACATTCTTCAATATGTCCAATGTTAAAATATTTTGCTTCATTCTGTATTAATAAATCAAGTTTGAATGTTTTTCTTTTATTGTATTTTTATTTCCTTAGAGTTTTTTCTAAGGTCCAATTTTTAGTTTTGTATTATTGTGTGTTTTATAAAAGAATTCAAACCAAAGCATTTTCCCACAGGAAGAATTCTTTATAATCAGTTCCAGAATCTTGTTTCAAATTTATCAGGAAGCCTAATCCATTTGTAACTTTCTAAAATCAAAGTTTTAATTGCTTTTAATTTTAAAAAAAATTGCTTGGAGGAGGGACATTGTTCTGACCCAGCCTTCGCAAGTAGTGGTAAGATGTTTACCCGCAAGTAAAACAACCCCTTTTTATAACCAGGCAGTAACAGTCTTTTATTCACAGGGATAAATAACAAAAGCAAATGTAATTAGTCCCAACAAACCTGGGTTTATCCAAGAAATCCGAATTGCTTGCTGTATACTAGAAAATGAACAGTTGTCTGTGACCCCTGGCCACTCCGAAACCCCTCCTATTAATTTCCCAGCCAGGAAGGGACTGACTATTGTCTGCATCTGGCTCTCTCTGAGAGCCGGCTTATTGCTTTCCTTTGCTCTCCTCTCTTTTCCTCTCTGTGCATATGCGCATCTGGGATGGGCCCCATCTGTTCCTCACTCAGCTCAGGCCCTGAAGACAGTTGCCTCTCCACCTGGGGGAGGACGGAAAGTCCCGGCTCTGCTTCTGTCTCTGATGCTGTTTCCTTATCAGAGCCTTCCAAAGGCTCCGAAGCTGTCCCAGGCTGTCCCTCCACCTCCTCCTCATCTGACTAGTGCAGCTAGCTCTGCTGGCAGCTGACGGGTCACAACAGATACAGGGCAAAGCAGGAAGATGTGATCGGCTGTGATGTCTGTTCTCTGCTAGTATTGCCTGAAAGGTAATGGCTGTATTGGCAGTGAGGGCTATCACTGGAATGAAGAGATAGTATTGCACTGTTCCCTGTTCCACTCCCACCAAGCAGAATAATAAACAGTAAAAGGTGTGTCCATGTGCAATCCCTCGTTGGTGGAAGCAGCAGAAAACCATTAGTTCACCTCTCCTAATAATTAACAGGAGAATTCCAGACAGGATTATCTCAAGGTTTTTCCTCCACCTTTTTCTTCTAAAAATTGTGTTCCCCTTCAAACCACTTTCTCTAGAAACATAAAAAGGGCCATGTTTTCCTATATTTTACATCACACGATAAAAAGCAGCAGAAGGAATCTTCAATAGAAAAACAATAAAGAGGCAAATGGCTAATATTTTTTCCCTCTCTGATAATATCTGTTGGAAGTTTACAGTCTTTTTTTTTTTCTGATAAGGAAAGGCAGAGGGAAAAATTGTGTACAATGAATAACGAGTAAATTTCCCAGAAATAAGGGAAGAAATGGAAATTTATAAGTAAATAAGGGCAGTCGAGATGTACTTCGGTAATCATTTAAAAATCTATCTTTTTGCCTCTTTCTTTGCTTTAAACAGCAAATCCGTGCCCTGTTCCTATTATAATCCCAGAAAATGCCATCCTCTCAGAAACAACTTTTTATGTTGGGCAAGAGGTATTTATCAAATGCAGAGAAGGCTATCAACTTCAGGGGCAATCTGTGATTAGCTGTAACCCTGATGAGGTCTGGACTCCAACCAGAGCTAAATGCGAGAGTAAGTAGTTAATGAAAAATGGCTTTTGTTTTGCTTTTTTGTTTAAAATCATGTTTGTGTCATCTGGCTCTTCAGGAAAGCTACGAAACAAAACGAAGAAATAAGAGATGTAAGTGGACACATATTCATTCAAACATATTCAAATGCAACTTTCATACGTGAGAAGGTACTGAAATTCAAGCAAAGGCTGGGTAGCCATCAGTTGGAGATGCCATAAAATGGACGGCCTTTAGGCCAGGGGTGTCAGACTCGCGTCGTCACAGCATTGTCACATGACATATCAGGACTTTTCCCCTTCGCTAAACAGGGCGGGGGCGGGACCAGTATGTGACGCATCCAGTCCGTAGGTTGCAAATTTGACACCCCTGCCTTAAGCTAACAAGAAAAAAATCCTTGAGGACAAGAAGGTAATCCTTCAGCTAAAAATATTCAGATAAATCAGATGGCATTGCTGTTGCTATAATCTTTCCTCACAAATTCTTGGCACAAAACAATTTAAAGTAGAAATACAGCTGTTCCTCCTTTTTCCTGATTGCAGGTTTCTTTATCTACACTCCCTTGGAGGTGAGTGCTGTATATTTAAGGAGATAATAAAATCTTCCCTTGCTCCAATATACCAGCTGATATTACAGAAGATTACAGATAGCCATGCTTACATATCTAGATGTTGGAGTCTATCTGCAATTTTCTGGAAGGCAGAGAGACTGCCACAGTTCAGTTTTGCACTTACTTGTTTCTGTGATGTCTTATGCACTATGCTGGGGGGTAAGGCAGCTTACCATTACAAATTCTTTGTTGCCATTTCTATTAAGGAATCTCTTGTGGGCCACCTGCTCATGTTGAACATGCTTTGGTACGTGGAACATTTTATCAATATGGAGATATGGTGACCTACTCATGCTACAGTGGATACATGCTAGAGGGCTCCCTTCGAAGTGTCTGCTTAGGGAATGGAACGTGGGCAGGAACACCATCTTGCAAAGGTAAATTAGCAGTTTCAACAACAACTATGCAAAGGCAGTGTTCCATACAAGAGCTATAGGGTAAATGGTATTCTCCAAAGACCATTTTCCAGAAATTAACCAAAGTTGGCATTCAGTATGAAAGAAACAACATGTAACACTACGTATGTTTTTGATGTCCTGAACAAACCATCTGCCAGGATATAATTTATTTTGAACTCTTGCATGTGGATGTGGATGTGTTTCTATTCCTTCAAAACATATCTATATTATTGTATGCCATTATTATTATTAAATATTTACTCTTGGGCAAATGCCAACATCTAGTAAACCTATTAAAATTAAAGAAAAACTAGATAATAGAGAGAGAGAGAGATGATGATGAAAGAAAGAGAGAAAGGGAGGGAGGGAGAAAGAAGATGAGAAAGAGAAAAAAAGAAAGAAAGAAAGAAAGAAAGAAAGAAAGAAAGAAAGAAAGAAAGAAAGAAAGAAAGAAAGAA